TGAAAATTTAACGTTATTAAATCGGATTTTGATTATTTACAATGTATTAGCAATAACAATAATTTATGTATTATTTTTACACCAAACAGAATCAAATACCCCAACTGGATTAAATTCAAATATTGATAGAATTCCATTTCATCCTTATTTTTCATTTAAGGATATTGTAGAATTTATTATTAGACTATTTGCTTAGTACTAGACTAGTGCCTCATTTATTAGGAGATCTAGATAATTATATTCCAGTAATTAATTCGATCGAGGTAATATAATTGTAATTACTTTAAGCAAGCTACATAGCTGTCTCGAGTCTTCTCAAATGGCATTTGGCCAGCTTCGAATTGCGCAACGCAAACAAAAACTGCCTAAAATATTTGTCTCAAGTTGATAGTAATGCCTATATTTACACCAAAATTGTTTACCGACTGCGACGGCGACGGCGACTGCAGCTGCGGCTGCGACTGCGACTGGGCGCCCGGGGAGAAACACAAATAAATATGCCATATGATAAATGATAAATACTACATAGGAGGATTCAGTTGCTTAGCGATGCAGAGGGGAGCTTAACTGAGGCTTAGAATTGGAAACTCATCAAATGCGGGCGACTATGTGGTTGGGAAAAGCTTTTGGTCGCCCCAGCTCGATCACAGTTGCAGGCAATCCGCATATCCGGCAAGTCGTGCTAATCAATCAGCCGCAGGCATTCAATTAACCAGAAAGCATGTTCAACGCTCATCGATCTCCAGATTACAAGTGGCGCAGGCGTATGTGGGACAAGTGGCAAGCAGAGGAGGAGGGGCTAAAGATTCGTTCGAGCAAAAGAATAAAGCCGCAACTAGTGACGAATGCTTCACCGATAATTAAGTTGCAGCAATCACTATCCATGGCCATTATTAGCAATCCCACCACACGTAACACCATGTTTGACGATTCCACTCCAAGATCCAAGATCGTATTCGAAACTGCTACCTCACGAAAGAGTACTTTGGATGTGCCTAGTTCAAGTATACGTAAAAGCATGATTGACGCTTCCGCTTCAAGTAGCAGCGTGATTGATGCTTCGACTTCGCGGAAGATTGTTGTGGACGCTTCCAGCTCGCGTAGAATCGTATTTAATGCTGACCGTGCCACTTCAAGTAACAAGAGATTTAAGCCTTCCACTTCTCGCGCGATCCCTTTTGATACTCCTATTTCAAGTAACCACGTGCTTGATGTTTCCACCTATCGTGTGGCCGGTTTTCGCATTCCCACAACTGCCAAAAGCAACAACTTCTCGACAGGTAAAGATAGTTCCTGTTCCACCACGCCCATACCTCAGAAAGATGCCAGAACCAAATTTGAAGAATACGTCGGAAACCCTTTGAATCAAGAGATGCCCAGCTCTTCGGACAATTCATTCCAATGTCCTAGGCCCAAGTTTATTCGTAGAAAGGCTTGCCTCATCCACGACTATCGTGCAGCTCTGCTGAACAAGGATAGAGAGACGGCCAGGGAGATCTATGAAAAGATACAGCGCATCGATGAACACGTCAATGAGTGGCAAGGATCCAGTCCCTACCCAACCAAATCCATGCTTCCAATGTCCCCAATGAACCAACTAAGCTCCGGCCCCCGAACGCCCATTTCGAGTATACTTCTACAAGTACACAGTGAGTTGGCAGATTTTATGCATTTTGCTTAAGAATTTACCTTGCATCTCTTTTAGAGCAGCCACTCCAAACTGTCCCGAAACTAGAGTTACCCCCACCAATGAAGAAACGCATATCACTGGATCAATATCGTGATCGTTGCCGTTATTCCAAAAACAAAAACTAGGCTTGATTATGTCCTGTTTGAACTAAATTGAAAATAATTTTTTTTTTAATTTTTCTATTTTAATACAAGTACATTATTACTTCCCCATCCAGAAGTTTTAAATTTTAACGCGAATTATCACTGTAAAAATTTCAGTTTTAATTTATTAATTTCACATTTTTTCATTGACATTAAATAAATTTCTTTAAATTGCACTTAAAACAAATTTTTGTTCTGCCTGGGTCTCTTTCTCTGAAATAAAATTGGTTACTGTTCGGTCTTTAACAGAAGATAAAGATAAAGATATGTATAAAAAATTATTCACAATAGTTTTCAAATATTTTTGAAATAAATATACCGTTATACTTAATAGTAAGATGAACAAAATTCAAAAAGATATTTTTTTATTAAACAGGCATATTTTTCATTTGCAGACCTCTGATGGAATGCACGTTTCAAGCCCAATGTTTTTATAAAAAACCCTACTATGTAAAAAGTTTCGTAAGCCCTATTTTGTTAAGGACTTGTTCTTAGAGCAAAAGGTACTTAAATCGGTCCATTAATTGGATGCTTTAAAAAAGTACTTAAGTGTAGAATTTTGTACTTGAAACCAGTATGCTCGCACTTTCCCAACTAATGCATTTGGAATGAAAACACTTGTGTTTTTCTCTCAGTGTATCAATGAAAAAGTAAAGACGAAATATGGAATACACTGAGGCGGCATCGCAACTCGAATCTTGTGAAAATTAGCATGTATGTATGTAATCTACACTGGCATATACATACATACTATATGTATGTAGTACGCATGCAGATACAAACAGACATACTCTGGTGTATAGTATGTCCATGCGGAAACTCAAATTTCTAATTTCAAAAGGAAAATTGGCCAACGAAATGTGAGAAAGAAATTATTAAAACAAGAAGGTTTTCGGCTTGGCAAATATTTATGCTGTCGACTTTATTGCGTTGTGTTTGTTTGTTGTTGTTGTTGTTGTTGCTGTTGTTGTTGTTCTTTCTGTTTCTTGTATTTGTGTTGGTTGAAAATCTTGCTCACCGCATACAAATAATTATGTTAATGCTGGTGGAAAATTTGTTGCCCCCCCATGCATGTATTCGGGCATGTGTGTAGAAAGCCGTGCGCATGGGTGTGGGTGTGTTTGTTTGTCTGCATGTGTGTGCGTGTGTGTGTGTGTATTTGGGAGGTTGTTGCCGACAAATGACCGCAGAGTCAGCAGAAATTATTTACAAAATTCTTGAGCGCAACCCAAACGAAAACTTATGAAAAATGTTATGAAAATTGTGTTTCCCAGTACTGGAAAGTGGCGGTGCATTTCAGTTGGCTAGCTGACTACCCTGGCTGTCTGGCTAGCTGGCCCGGTAAGGCAGAATAATATGGTTTCGGTTTATGTGGCCACTTTTTAATTGAAATAACTTGGTTTATCCTCCAGTCGTAGCCTAAAATGGCAACAATAATGTGTGTCATTGAACAACATTTATATAGAGCTATGCTAAAAATGTTTATACAATAATAAATAATATGGAAAATTTTGAAATGATTGCATACGTTTCCTGTGCACCTCGAAACAGATGAAGAGGTGGGAAAGAGTAATAAATTGATTAGTTAATCCTTTTCAGCTGCACAAGCAAATTGGGCAACAATTTAGAAAATTCAAACATTATTCCAATTTGGTCTTAGTTGAATTTTAATGCATTCAACTTCAAATTGTTAGGCGCATTTTTAAAGAAATAAAGAGGTTGCTTGATGCACTCCTCCTTTAATTCTTGGAATTTCCCCCCTATAACGAACATTACATGCTTTTAGTGCTAATTACCCGCATGATACTTACCTGTATTTATCTTCTTAACAAATATTGCTTTAAAAGGGACTTAGCATCAATGTACTTATTATCTAGCCATGAAATTGATGCTATTGCTTTGGTTTAAGAGCGTACGAGTACGGGGCACCGATTTCAATCAACCTTTTAGTGAAGCATATTTTGTTGGTAGTAGAAGTAAATTAAGTGAATGATTTTATACGTTATAAGTATTGCATCAATTTGACAAATCTGCACAATATTGTTAGATGTTATACAATTCATTTTTATTATTATAATTTGATTTAGTCTTAGTCCACCAATTTAGATAAAACTTCACTTTATATATCCAATTTCATTAACAAACAATTCAGGAGTAAATAATCCAGTTATTAGCATTTTCGATAGTAGGAAGGGCACATAAGTTTCTTAGAGTTCCGAAGATATTAAAAATATATTCACTCATGATACATATTTATATATGTATATGTATGTATTTGTGCTTAATAAAGTTTTTGATCTGGCTGAGTGAAACGCTCTTTCACCACACATCGACCACTGAATGATTTCAATTAAAGGCTTTCCTTTGCAGCGGACACACTTAATAAACCTGCATATATTAAATTTTGTGTTAATTTTTTTTTACTGTAAATGCTTAAAATCAATTTGCGATAAATAAAAAAACCACAATTGCCGCGCAAACTCTGATGGTTGGCGCATAAAAGCGCCGCTTAAAATCTCAATTTAACAAATCGCAATATTGATTAAAGTCGAATTAAAAAGCCAAAAGCTTTTTAATTCAGCGGCCAGACAGTTCGTCGCCCACAAAGGCCCAACATAAAAATGTTTCGACAAGCGCCTATTAGCGGGCCACTTAGCGTGGTTGAGTTTTTTGTGCGGTGGTGGTCATTCAGTGATGCAGGTGCCTGGTTAAGCCTTCCAGATGGCTGTGTGCTTACCCACCTGCAGTCCACAATTGTGGACAATACTTTAAAATATTAATACAATTATCTATTGAATTTTTCATGCAAAATTCGAGTCTAAAACTGCATACTTAATTTCATTATATTCATGAATTACTTCAAAACATACCTCATCCAGTTTTTTCCTCAAAGCCAGTAACTGCGCAATTGGTAGGAAAAGAGTGGCCACAACGTAGCTGGTGGCAGAAATTTAGCCGATCCGACCCATCAAGGGTTGTCGGTCAAGCAACAGGTCGGTATTCACACTTTGGTTAAGCTGTCGACAAATTGCTCTCTTAGCCACTACAAGAATCCAGCTGAAAGAATGACTTTTTGATCTTTCCGATACCGTTCTTTGATGGCTGTTGGTATCTTCGCGTTTCAAAGATTGCGAGACTTAGGATGTTTTTTTGTTTGTACAAGATACTTAAATATCAATATAAATTTCATTTATTCGCTTTTACTTTGTCTTGAGTTGCACTCGCACATTTCATTAGAGTAACATTAATAAGTAATTAAAATGAAACAAAAAAGGAAGGATATGAAAAATGCATGAAGCAAAAATACAGCGTCCTGATAAAATAAAACTGTTACTATTAACTATGAGCTATGAATGTACATAAGTATGTTTAAAAACAAAATCGAATAGCGAAAAAAGGAGTTGCTCTAATGGAATTCTTTGCCGTCACTCGGCTAATCCTAGGTGCTAATTTAGGTTTATAGCAATTTCAATTTCAATAATACCGCGCAGTTGGACCCTCATCTAGTAGTTGAGTTTGAGGGCGAAGTCCACATCCATTTTGACGCCAGGTTTGCGAACAACCACTGCTTGATCCCGTTGCGACACCTCCAACTGCTGTGTGACGCCATTGACTGTGATTGTAGCCCCGCTAGGCAGACGTCCCAGGCCCGCAATCACGATGCGTTCAATCCAGGCCTCACTCTTATAATTTGGCTTTCCAATGAAGCTGTTGGTGAGCTGATTGTTCGCAAAGTCGTACTTTACATAAATAAAGGAGCCGCTACGATAGGCATAGCTCTTCTCATCATCCACGAAAAGCGTGCCGGAAGCCTTGCCCTCACGATCCAGACACACGATAAGCGTGTAAGGGTCATGCAGCATTAGCGTGGCAGCGCGGCGAAGGCGCTCCTTTTTGGGTACGATGCTGCCCCCACGCTGAAACACAGGAATCTGCAAATAAATGATTTGTTATCGAGGATTGCACAGATTACTTGGCTTATAAATAAAACCTTATACTCATCAACTGGCACGCTTTCGTGACCGACTCGATCATGACGCTGATAAGTGTCCACATCATACCAGTAGTCGCCGGTCTTTTTATCATCCTTAACCGGGAAATAAACATCTACCTTGTTTACGCCCTGTTGCATGACAGGCCGTACCAGAAGGCGATCCTGCACAAGCAGGGAGTTGTCAATACTATAGGCGTCCTTGTCCTGTGGATAATGTGCCAGCAGTGGACGAATGACTGGAGCTCCCTCCCGCTCTAGTTCGTAAAAAGCGGTGTACCAAAGCGGCAGATAGCTGTAGCGTTTAACCAGCGCGTTCTTAATGATTAGGCGCGTGCGTTCGGGAAAGAGCCAGGGCTCCCGTCGCTTGGTGTCAATGTGAGCGTGCGCACGGAAGAAGGGCAGGAAAGCGCCGGTCTGGTACCAACGCTCGATCAACTCGCTATCTGGATTGCCAAAGAAGCCGCCGATATCAGCTCCACAGAAGGAGAAACCGGCTACAGCCTCACTGAGGCACATCTTGATGGAGTGCTGCATATGAGTCCAGTCAGCCATGTTATCCCCAGTCCAGATGGCTGCAAAACGCTGTGAGCCCGCAAAGTGCCCTCGAGTTAGAATGAATGGACGCTGGTTGGGATCACGCTTTAAAAGACCATCAAAGGTGCCCATGAGATGCATATGAGCGTACAGATTGTGCACATCGCGATGTTCCCAGTTCCCGAAGTGCACCAGATCCTTGGGCGCTGTCACCTCGGGTCCATTGAACACTGAAGGCTCGTTCATGTCATTCCAAATCATAACGTCGGAGGTTACTGTTTTGAAGTTGCTCAGCAGGTACTGGCTTCCATAATAGTCGCGCACAACGGGATTGAAGAAATCAGGATACCTGGCAGCGCCTGGCCAGCACCAGCCTTCGTAATCATTTCCATCACGCGTTTTCACATAGTAGCCTCGTTCTGTACAATCATTGTGGAAGAAGTAGCCACTGTCGCGCTTAATATGCGGATCAATTATAATGACTAGGTGACGGCCCAGCTCAGTGAGATTCTTTATCATGGTCAGCGGCTCGGGAAACTTGAAACTGTCCCATGTGAAGTATTTTTTATTGTCCGTGTACTCAATGTCTAGCCACATAGTGTCCATGGGCATGTTGTACTCATCGAATTTTGCAGACACCGAGGTCACGTCCTTTTCGTCGTTGTAGTTCCATCGACACTGATGGTAGGCGAGAGCGAAAAGCTGCGGAAGCTCATGAGTACCTGTCAGTGCAGAGTACTGCTTAAAAGCATCCATTGGCTTCGGGCCGAGCAAAATAAAGGCATCAATTATTCCCGACTCGGACATGAAGTGGGCCGCAGGTGGCGTTGACTTTCGTGAACCGGAAACAAAATTCACCAACGAGGAAACCACATTCGTTTCCGAAGAGCTGATATCCACCCAGGTCTCGGCTGCATTCTGCCAGTAGACACCTGCTGTACGCTGAGGACTGCAAAAATGAGAGAAGTACATGAGCAACAACTTTTGGACACCTCTGCTGTGACTGCTACTTACCCGTGTCCATAAAGTACCGGAACTGAGCCGTATAGTGCCATTTTGCTGTCCACTACATACTCAAACACGTCCAAATTGTACAGGCGATAGGGATCGGTGCCGGATGTTGACTTTAGTATAAAACTATCGGCATGCTCGGGTATACCGAAAAGAACCTCGGCAGCAGGAAATGAGAAGTCCAGAGCCACAGCTTCCGGGCCATTTGGCTTGGCATCGTGATGCGATTTGAAATTTTCCTCCCAGGTGCCTGGCTCATCATCCTGCTGCGCCTCTGCAGCGGGTTGCTCTCCACCCTCCGGCGCCTCTGCAGGCGCAGACGTCTTCTGGCGTAAGTGCTCAAAGTACATCCAGTTCTTCGCATTCACAGAAACGGCAAGCACATCACCCTCGTAGAAATCAATTCGAAACGGATCCGCAAATAGCACAGCCTTTGTATTACCAGCAATGACAGTCAATTCTCCATTCATCTCGCTGCGTTCGCGTATGCGACCCAATTCCGGCTGTCCTTTGAGCGCATGCTCCACACGATAACGTGGACGTAGTGGTTCCTTCTCATCAATTTGCAACCGGAATGAGCTACCGACCAGAGCCTCCAATTTAAGCGAAAATTTATGATTATTCTCTTTGTTGACCAACTCCGCTGTCAGCGAATCCGAATATGTGTTCAATGAGCCTTCAACGAGTGCATATTTGCTGCCGGAGCTCTGCACCTTACGCGACCGCTTGCAGAAGCTGCTCTGCTCGCAGGTTTTGAAATTATTTGGGTCGACGCCAACACTGTAGCTAAAGAGTGCCCCAAATGTAAGCAATATGGCGACAGCAGAGCGCATTTTGATGCGTTTTTGCCGGCTTACCGCTCCGTCTACGTTCGTTCTGTCGATTTTAAGATTTTAGATTGCGCTGTAATATTAAAAATAATGGTGATATAAATTTTTTTATTTTAAACTAGAATATTTAAAAGAATATTTGTCTACTAAAGACCGCCACTTTGCCACTATCTTTACGGTTGTTATCGTCTGTGTTGTTGAAACTGCAAATTGATTATAGTATTCATGTACACGTCAGAGTTTCCTATACAAGCAATTTCGATGAAATTAATTGTTGTCCCAAACGCTTCAATGACTATTTACGGTGCTCAACGTTATATACAGTTGAAATAAAATTCAGTACCTTAAGAATCTTAAGAATCTTATTGCAGCCATTGTCGATGACGAATGTATAATGAAACTTCAACAAGATATTCCATATAGACAATAATAAATAAAGCATCAACTTTGTGCAGCTGTTGCGCAATGCAAGCGGTGGCGCTGTCATTAATACCTAACAATTAAATATGTATCCACAAACGCTTCTTACCCAAAAAGTTACATATACTATATCACGTTAACAAATAATTTCTCCTTCGAAACTGCACCGAGAAACGACACTCGCCGGCTTAAGCAAAACAGTGTGCACCTAAGTTATATAAATGAAAATATTTAGCATAGCATTGCAGTTTACACATTTCTTTACAAAATGTGAATGGCAAAAGAGGCGCGCTCCTGCAATTTGAATGAAAACAGAATTTTATTATCGTAGATTATTCAATTTTTTAAAGAGGAAAACACATACTGAAACAGCACATACAAATTAAACGTTCAAGATGAGACGAAAATACACACTGTAATAAGTAATAAGGGCGGTCTCAACAAAGATACAAGCAGAGTCGAGCCATCTGGGAGGTATTCCGTTCCATACAAATTTCCCATGTATGTACATATGTACATATATATAAGGGGCAAAAAAATTCAATAGCGTATCAGATTGTTGACAGGGAATGAACGGCGCAAGCTCATGCACTTTTCCCGATCAATGAACAAGGCATTGACCTTAGCTCGTAAATCCACCTCCAGTTTGCAGCGTGTTCTGAGCAAACTCTGGTGTGTGGCCTCGGCCTCTTGCAGTTTGTGGTGCAGTTTATCAACGGTGCCCTGAATGTCCTGCACTTCCTTCACTAGACGATCCTGAGCGTAATCTCTGCGGTGATTCATAGGGTAGAGGAAAACGTGTAAATATAAATCTAAATGTATGATAATGGTAAAGTGTATTGACTGACTTGCACAACTCCACGCCTTCACGATGGGATCGAGCCTCCAAACGTGTTTGAGCCACCATCATCGGTCCAGCCTTGTCCTGCACAGCCTTTTGAAGCAGGAACAGATGCTTCTCCATATCAAACAGCTCTTGCTGCACTTTATGTAAGTGTAGTTGTACGCGGTTCTTAGCCTCAGACATTTCCTGTGCACGTCGATCGAAAGCGTTGTTCGTGTTGCTCCAGTGATCCCAAACTGAAGCCGCCACAGCATTTACCACATTCTGAGAGTCGCTGCGCAACTGCGACAGCTTGGCACGCTCGGCCTGGGAGCTGCACAAAATCATTAAATCAAATAGTGAAAATATGTACATATGAGCCAAGATGATAGCTTACCGTCGCACGTGATCGCTGCTGGTCTGTGCCCAAGACTCCTGTGTGCTAACCGATGGATCGAACTTCTCGATGCCACCGTAGTAGGTAATGCCGCGGCTATGATTATTCATCTGATGGCACATGGAATCAATTCCCAATGAAGACTCCTTATGGGCCACATCATCCTCCAGAAGATGTTGGGCACCCCGACAGTCAAGCGCCTGTTTGGCGATCTTCTCGTGCAGGCCGCTCAGACGATCGCGTGACAGACGCAAATTATTTATCTCTAGTAACAGCGCCTTCTCCACGTCGTCGTGCACCTTCTCAGTATCCTGGCGCGACTCGCGATGGAAGAGGCACTCCTGTGCGATATGTAATGGTATCTCCAAATCCAGTAGTGCTTTGCCACACAGCCGCTGCAAATCATTTATGTCTGACATCTCGGCAATGAGCTTTTCCAGCTCACCGTTCAGTTCGTTGCGCCAAAATGTCAAATCCGTGATGCGTTCACCCAAACAACGTCCTGCGTCACGTTGTCCCGAAGTGGCCTTTTCGTCCGTCTCGCGCATTAGGCGGAGGGCATCGTTGCGCATGCGCTCAGACATATTTCTGATTCGTGATTTCACAGATATGTAAAAGAGCCATAGGAAGGATAGACAATGCGTTAGTACTTACCGGTTCATATTGGACTCGAGGTATCTCATCATGTTGTTGTTGTACCATTCAGTGTTGGTGTAGCGTGTGTAGAGTGCGGCACGCGCTGCATGCTGAGGATTCCTATCGAAACCGGTCACCACATTGGGAAAGATCATGCCCTCGGTCCGCATGCCCCTAGGCATGAAGCACTGTTTAGTCAGCTGGTTAGTTACTGGCTGATCTGGCAGATGCTTAACCTTAATAAGCTCATAAGCCAAGGCAGGACGCCATGGATGTCGGTTCGAGTTCGCATAGGCATTGCCAACCCGTGGTGGCACCGACGGCCCCACCACTTGCTCCACGCAGGGCAGCGCACCCGCTTGGCTCCATGGCTGCAATTGTGAATACATTATCGTTGGTTTCGGCACATTCAACTTAGCCTGGGTTCTGCCGCGTCTAAACATCTTGCCAACAGTGATTATGGATTACGAATAGCAGTGCAATGTGAAAATAAGACCTGCAATGGTCACTACTTGAATTTTTTAAACGTTCGATTTACTTTTACTAAAAATTTTGGTTTTTCAAAAATGGAAAACTATTTGTTTATGTGCGTGTTTGTGAGAGTCCAAGAAAAACTAACAAGATAGATTTAAAACAATCAAAGAGTTGTGTAAAACGGCTTGCTAAGTTTCGTGAACAGATATACGTATAACTATGTACATCCATATGTATGTACATAAGTACATACCAAGCAGGATCTCAGTTCTTGCCAAATGGTACTTTTCGCACATCAATTTTTTTCCATACATCAATTTAGAAAGGCTTATCATAAAATCCCATTTGGTAAGAATATATACATAAACATGAACATACTTGTGTAGATATTTCTGAGAACTATGTTATTTGATTCTTTGTTTTGTGAGGTGTTAAATATGCGTTATGGTCACGGTTGCCACTTCAAGTCAATTTTATTGTCAGTTGCATATACGAGTATACTTAAAGCTATTTAATCTTGAGTCATAGTTACGAATGTAGTTCTTTCCTCAGGCTATCTTAAACTTTTCTCACTTGCAAATGGACATGCCCAACAAATTACGATCATGACACATTTACTTAAAAGGATCCTTTTTGCCATCCCCGCGAATAGGTAGATATAGAACACAAGGAGTAAGTCCTCGTACCTTAATAGGTAGGATCATTTTTATTTCTACAAAATCGTATTCTGCTAAAATATGACTGGCATATTCCTTTTCATGAGGAGGGCACAGTTGCCCATATTTTTAACTTTTTAACAGCATTCATCTGTTCATACATATGTATGTATGTATGTATGTATTTTCTGAAAGCGTTCTTTAAGTTTTCGTTTACATTTTTGAACTAAGTATTGTATGTATGTACATATGTATGTATTTCCAAACCAAAATAAATTACAAACTCCAATTAAAAAGTGGCAGCCGTGAAAGTGAAATAGAAGATGATGATATAATGATGGTTTTAATGATAATGATGAGATACATATGATTCCATTAGATTGCGGTGGTCCTTGCGTTCCAAATACTCGTTCATATCGGCAGTGGGCCATTTGTCCAGCAGGTTATCTTTGACCAAGCGATGATCGAAGATTCGATTTTCGAGATATGAGTGCTTGTGGAATTTGGTGACCTCTTGACCTTTTAGTGGTGCCATTTCTTCATAAATTTTCTTGTGAAAGCGTTTAATAATTGCTTTAACTGCATTCAATTTTACACGCTTATCACAAAAACACTCACAATGGGAATACTAGAACGCAATAGCAGGTTTTTCAACGTCTCAGGGGCCTTTGGCTGTGGATTTGGATAGCGTTGACTAAGAAAATGATCTTCATTCGCCCAGCAAAGCATTTGCCGTGGATATCGAACACACCGTAAGCGAGCTCTGGAATGTTGCAACTGATTTCAAAACGCCCATGGTACCAGGTCTAACAAAATACTGTAACTGTTTATTGATTAAACTTGTGAAATATCTTAGTAACTTGATGGTTGTCGGGTTCGTTTATCCTGTCTGGATTGTGAAATCGATGACTTTGAGCACGGGTTTATTGACCCATTTCAAAAATACAATTAAGGACATACAGATATTTCATCATAGCGTGCAGGAAGCCAAGGGACAAATTGACATGGTCGCACAAATATACAATTAAATATAAATAATTGATTCCGAAAAAACGCCTAACAGAAGTTTATTGCGTCCTATTGCCCCAATAACGGAATTTGTGTCATATCTGTAGCGTACAAAAATAGAATAAACAAATTTAGTTTAAAAATTAATTCATTAAAGCGTTGGGTAGCGATAACAATAAGGCATACACTTCATTATTTTGTAACTACCATTCACACATTTTTTACTTCACGAGTGTGTACACACTGCTAATGTACGACATTAAGCATGGGCTGGAATGCACCTAGGTAAGAAGAAGCATGTCAGCGAGGCAAAGACAACGACCAACGCGAACGTAGGAATATTTGCACAACAGTGGGAATACAACAAAAAAGGGAACGGATGTGACAGCTAGGAAATTGAACTGCCTGCTCAATAGTAGAATATTTCAAATTCAATAGCCAGAGAAACATATATCAGTCGTTACGATGAGCCTGAACAACAATAAGGCGAATACCACAACAAGTGACGCGGCGACGGCAACGATACTTTCTGCTGATGCGGATGCAGATGCTGAGAATGCCAGCGCTGAGGCTGGTGATACTGGTGATAGCGGCAACGCCGCCGCAGATGAGGCTAAGGAGCGCACAGAGCTGCAACAATTTATTAAAGATCTGCAGGATAAGATCGATAGCAAGCAACAGCTGCGCAAGAAAAACTCGGATTTTGAGTACCCAGGCGAGAAGTATTTTGCGCGCTTGGACTCAAGTCTTAAGAAAAACACCGCTTTTGTAAAAAAGCTTAAAATGTTTACGGCCACGCAACTGGATTCGATGCTACGCGAGCTTTCCGCCCTCAATCTGAGCAAATATATATCGGAAATATGCGCTGCTCTTTCCGAGGCTAAGCTGAAAATGACAGACGTGCCGGCGGTGGTGTCGCTTGCATCGAAGTTGCATTGCACCTATGCTGATTTTGATTCACAGTTTTTGGAGGCATGGCAGAAGACTTTAAACATCAAGGCGTCTGAGAAGATCACTAATCCCAGCAAGCTGCGCGTTGACCTGCGCCTATTCGCGGAGCTAGTCAGTTCAGGTGTGCTTCCGATGAAGTCGGGTCTAGCGCAGCTAGGCATGGTGCTAGTGCAACTAATAGCGCAGGATAAGGATGATCATAGCAACTTTTCCATTATTCTTTCCTTCTGTCGACACTGCGGTGAAGAATATGCTGGTCTAGTGCCGCAAAAGATGCAGAACCTGGCGACCAAGTATGGCGTAGAGGTGCCAAAGTCAGATTTCCTTACCGCTGAAAAGCAACTCAATTTACGGACTATGCTCAAGGGCTATTTCAAAGCCCTGTGCAAACACGTGCTGTCCGAACAGGGCGAATTAATGAGCATGACAAAAAATTTACGTCGAACCATGGAGTGCAAAGGCGAGATATCTCAGGAGAAACGCGAGAAGAGCGAACTGATGCAGGCTAACTTCGACAAGCTGCTCGCCTCGGCGCAATCTCTGTCGGAACTCTTGGGGGAGCCGATGCCTGAGCTAGCCAAGGAGGTTGAGTGCTGCAATCCCGGCACAGTCATCGAGAATATGCTGGACAGCGCCACCTTTGGCCCGGTAGATCCCTGGGGCGACGAAGATACACGCAGCTTTTACACGGATTTGCCGGATTTGCGTCAGTTTCTGCCCAACTTTTCGGCGCCAAAGGTGGATCTAGAAACATTGGAGGAGACCACCGAGCTGACCGAAGAGGCAATCGAGGCAAATATCGATGCCGAGCTAGACCTAGATGATCCTCCTTCAACAGCTTCTGACACGCCGCAGGATAAGGAGGCTGAAGAGCAAGGAACGGGTGCAAGAGCAGCTTCAACCACCCCAGAGCCGATCCTAAAACCACATAACGATAAGAAAATGGCTAATGCGCTAATGGAGATCGGTCGCCAGCAGAATAGCAATCCGCAGCATCCACAACAATCACAGGGCAGCAACGCCGCCCAAATGCGCCAGCAGTTCGACAGCTTCCTGGTCAATCTATTCAATTGCGTCAACAAAGAACTGATTGACTCGGCAGCAATTGAGTTTCTGCTCAACTTTAATACAAAACACCATCGCAAAAAGCTGACGCGCACCATTTTCGGTGTGCAGCGCACCCGCCTAGACATTTTGCCCTATCTGTCCCGTTTCGTAGCCATTGTCCACATGTGCAACATGGACGTGGCCGCTGATCTTTCCGAGCTACTGCGCAAGGAGTTTAAGTGGCATATACGTAAGAAAAATCAGCTTAATATCGAATCTAAACTAAAGATCGTACGTTTTATTGGCGAAATGGTCAAATTCGGCCTATTCAAAAAGTTCGACGCACTTGGTTGTCTCAAGATGCTGTTGCGCGACTTCCAGCACCATCAAATCGAGATGGCCTGTGCCTTTGTGGAAGTCGCCGGAGTCTATCTGTACAACTGTCGAGACTCGCGACTCCTGATGAACGTGTTTTTAGACCAGATGCTGCGGCTAAAGACTGCAACGGCCATGGATTCGCGACATGCGGCGCAAATTGAAAGTGTCTACTACCTGGTGAAGCCACCCGAGTCCTCAAAACGTGAGGCCGCTCCTCGCCCACCCATGTACGAGTATATACGACATCTTATTTTTGAGGAGCTCTGCAAACAAAATGTGGAGCGCTGCATTAAAATGCTGCGTCGCATCAACTGGACTGACCCGGAAACCTGCAACTATGCCATCAAGTGCCTAAGCAAGGCGTATCTGTTGCGGTTCCCCCTAATACGCTGCCTTGCAGATCTAGTATCCGGACTAAGCTCCTATCAGCCGCGCGCCATCACCATTGTGATCGACAACGTCTTCGAGGATATTCGAGCCGGCCTGGAAATTCACTCTCCCAAGATGTCACAACGTCGCATCGCCATGGCCAAGTATCTGGGCGAGATGTATAATTACAAGCTGGTCGAGTCAACCCACATCCTAAATACGCTCTACTCAATAATATCATTAGGCGTCTCATTGGATGTTAATGTGGTGTCACCCTTGGATCCGCCCGATAGTCTATTTCGCCTTAAACTGGCCTGCATGCTCTTGGATACTTGTGGGCCCTACTTCACCAGCCAGGCCACCCGTAAAAAGTGAGTAGTGGGCTAGGCAAGGGAGTACAAATTAAAAATATACGCGAAAGGAGAAAGAGGGAACGATATTGGCTTAATATAACAACAGTTTTAAAATTTATATATTTATGCCGCTCACAGGAAGTGTTAACACCCATAAGGAAGAATGTTAGACATGCCATACTTACATTTCTGATCAGCATGGCGAAACGAATCCAAATCATTACTTGTCTGTCTGTTTCAATCACTACTCCTCCCACATATAGCTAGACCAAGCTAGATTACTGCATCTACAGCTGCCACGGAAAGGATTTCCCTTATTTGTAGAAAAAGCATATACGTTTATGAAGGTACTGGAACCAAATGAGATGTTGAGTGTATGGTTGTTATTATTACTAAAACAATTAAGCGTGTAATTATCCCATTAACAAGTTAGAACAGATTTCATACTATTATTATTGTTGTATTAGAACCAAGTATCGATCAAATAGAAATGGAAACAAATAAAATCATGTAATTCTGTTTTTGTTTTACAGGCTGGATTACTTTCTGGTATTTTTCCAGCACTACTACTGGTTCAAAAAGTCGCATCCCGTGTTCGCCCATCCAGAAGATACATCTGATCTGTTTCCCATACTTGTGGATCACACATATCGCGACTGTTTGGCCGCAGTGCGTCCGAAACTGAAGGTAAGTTGAAAATCTTGGCATACAGACTGCGACAAATTGTATTACAATTCGATAATTGTCGCAGCTATACAAGAGTTTGGAGCAGGCCAAAGAAGCCATTGAGCAGCTTAAAGAACAGCTCTACCCGCAGCTGAAGTCCACTGATGGCACCCAATCTGGATTGACCATAGGCGAGCATAGTGAATTGGAGGAAGGGGTAAGCTGTGCTAAATCTTAACGTGGTTCTTAAATTCCATTGTTAATTCTTCGCAGGTAACGGATGAGGAATCTGGCTCAGCAACTGAGCATCGGCAGCGACATGCAGCTGCTGCCGAGGCTGAGCCTGAAGCTGAGACGGAGCATAACAATGACTGGACTGAAAATGAAGTGGAGCAAGCAGTGCCACAAGCGCCGCCCGAAAAGTCTAAGGAGGATATCGAATTTGAGCAAATGTATGAAAAAATGACTGCCGACTCGTATCAAGAGCGTCTCAAGGAGCCGCTTAAGGCCACTGCTAAGGATATACCAGTGCCCATGACCGTGCGTCTGCAAAAGAAATCCTATGACCATATAAGCGCTTGTAGCAGCAGCAGTAGCGCCACATCACTGATCTCAAAATCTGCGGGCTCCACACTGAGCGTGCGGAGCTCCACAGACTCAATACTGTACCCCAGCGCATCTTCAGTTTCCTTAGGTAACAATCTTGCTAAAAGCGAGAGCGCTACCGAGACTAAGGGCGGTGCTGTGCCATTTGTGCTAATGGTACGCGGGCACAAGGGGGGCAAACAGCAGTTCAAATCTTTTGTTGCACCCCCCGATTCGCATCTGGCTATCAATCTCAAGCTTCAGGAGCAAAAGACACGTGAGGAGAAAGAGAGGGTCAAGCGACTGACACTCGATATAACAGAGCGAATTGAGGAAGAGGATTATCAAGAATCTTTGCTTCCACCCCAGCAACGCAACTTTACGCAAAGCTACTACCAGAAACCCCACAAGCACAAATTTAAGCATCAGAAAGGTGCGCCCGATGCTGATCTGATATTTCACTGAATCACCGACTTACCACCTTCATTAGCCCACGCTGCCAGGCTCAACGACAATGAAGATGCGGCCACGATGACGAGAAGACGACAACGAAAGTAGTAGTAGTAGACGCATAGACCACCCACGGGCATTTAAATCAGGCGTTGGTATTGACTGTGCGTCTCGACCCTTGTGAGAAATGGCAAGTTGTTGGCCCACCGCCAACGACGCTGGCACGCCATCCTGATCCTGCCATCTTGTTTAATGTTGATTCGATTCTATAATTTTCGTATTCTTGTTTTAATATAGCTCTTGCATTTGGCTATGAATATGTCAAGTAATAAAGTGACGCTCAAAGAGCATCATTTTTAAGCATAGCATCAAGGTATTTAAGGTTTCCAAATGCTTAAATGCTAAGTCCCTCACTAGCAGCACTGCTTGGTTGGTCAGCCAGTCATAGAGTCAGTCGTAGTCAGTCACCCGATTGCTGTGGGCTCGCGCATATTATTGTTATATACTTTTGTACTTTAATAATGTCGTCGTCTCAATTCAAGCTAAGCTTATTTTGTTAAGCATATGTATTTAGAATGTACATACATAGATATAGGAATTAAAGTTGCCTCTTTATTTTAAAGTACTATTTCATCTGTTTTTTTTTTTTTTGTTTTTTGTAGGTTTTCATAGTTTTCTTTTCAATAGTCTCTAGCTCTATTAGTTGTCTTTCAATAATAAAAAGCTTTTAAAATACAAGTAGTTGGAGTTTGCTAAAAAAAAAAATGTAACTACTATAACAAACGACTTCCATACCACATCGAAATTTAAAAGGTAGACACCCTAACGATTATTCGTAGGAGTCTCGGTTAGTAAGGTAGGGACGATTTTAAAGCAGAGCTTGTACTTTTGAAACAAGAGCTCCGTTTACTAAGTAAAATTAGAGTTTTGTACCATAAGAAAAGTTGAAAATCACTAGATTCTTGAATAAAGATTGACTACAAAAAATAAAAATACTTTCGTTATCTGTATGAAACGGGTCGATTATTCTACGCAAGATCAAATAATGCACCCAATACTGGAACACAATTACAGTTGACGGTCAGTTGTAACTAAAAGTGTAGTTTTCTTTTAAAATATTGACGTTACATTCGGAACGAAGCGTAATATACCGGGAAGTATATATTTACGTCAGCATGAGGACATTACGTGACAGCTGTCTAGGTATAAGTACTATAGGTTAAAACACAATCGACACTCCCAACGATGGTAAAAGCAGCTTTACATATAAAGATATTCCTATACTCCTTCAGTAGACTGGGAATGGCCTGTGTAAAAAATTCCCTATTTGTAATTAGATGAGTACTTTTACAATTTCAAGAAATAATATAACACACGAACACACTTTTGAATTTAATTTGTTTATCATTATTTATTTAAATTATAATAAGAATCAAACGAAATATCAAAATAATACAGAAATACATAAAATTTTCATTTGGTTTTATTCAATCAAATTAGCGTCAAATGGTTTTTTCGCGTTTTTTTTAAAATTATTATTATTTACTTTTATCAGTACAAATCGCAAGAACAAGATTATAAATCGCTATAAATTATAATTCGTAGAGAAGTAACTTTTAAAATTCGTTCCTCACAAAAACGTTAATTGTTTAATTTTTTTTTAAATATAAATTTTGGACTATTTTTATTAAACATTTGTGAAACATGGAGCTTATATGTTAATTGGCTTAATTCTGAAGCATAAAGTTAGATCAAATAATAAATGATACGAAACTTAAAATTGTAGTTAAATAAGTTTAGTGAAAATTAAAGGTCGTGCGAGCTTAAGTTTAGTTGCTGAGCACATTCCTGCACAGAACGCGCTATGGTCATTATCATATACACTACGTTTTAAACTACAATACAATACAAAAAAAAAATAATAAGAATATTTATAATAAAAAACACATTTCAGAAAGGTCGTGGTACAAATGTATGTGTATATAAGTCACAGGCACAGGCACATTTGGCGTACTGTTCTCTGTTATTGCAGCTGTTGTTGTTGTGTTTGTTGTAAAAGTTGCTCGTACTTGGCATTTGCTCATTGTTGTGCGTTGTTGTTGTAATCGTTGTTAGTTTTTGGCTCTGCTTATATGGAAGCATTTGTTGTCTTGTATAAAGTAAGTTTAATATTTAGAATATGGAGAGTGCGCTCGAAAAAGGAGCAGCATAACTGCACTACCTGCTCGTAAGAGAGGAACCTCTGTGTTGCAAATACATAAGTATGTATATACTATATGGATATTTTCCGAGCGCAACCCTTTGTTAACATGTGTGTTTGTATATATACTTTTCAAGGCACAATATTTTTGCATGTTTATACCATTAGCATGCATTTGAAATTCTTTTTTTTTTAAATTAATACATATATATGTATATGCATATACATATTAAATGATGATCTCTCTATACAAATAAAATCTGACTTAGTTTAGAACGCGGTTCAATGGCAGTACTTTGTTCAAGCATATCATTTTTTCTCGACACCCTTCGAATCTAGTAACACTGTGACTCGAAAGTTGCCAAGCTAGAAAACTTTAGGGCGCACCTGGCGAAATGCTTTTCAGCGTGTATTGGTGAGTAAGTTCGACGAAATAGACAGCGATGGCGTAGACAACGGCGACTTGATCTGATCCGATCCAAACTAGTATGATCTGATCTGATGAAATTGATTTTGACTAATCAAGCACAAACAGTAGAAATGATGATGGCAATTTTCTTTTTCACTTATCCCTATAAACAATATCGTGCTGCTGCTTCAGCGCAATCCATTTACTTGCCGGCATACATAGGGTTCTTAAAAGTGGACGTGGCCTGCTTGTAAATTGGATTCTCACCCTGTAATCGAAAGAGAGGGAAATAGTTATACGACTAGCTATAGAGCGATAATTGGGCGCTCAATGACACTCACCGTATCCCACTTGGCGTTCATACGCTCCTTCTCGAAGCGTGCAAACTCGCGGCGATCGTGTATGGTCGTGAGCAGCTTCCACAGCATCAGAATGGCCAGACCCACGAGTACGATGGCCGCAATGACTCCCAGCACAATGCCGAGCATAAAAATCTTCGGCGGGCACTCCGTTTGCTCTTGGGCATGCACCTTAAGGATGCCGCCAACCTCTGCATACTTGAAGGTAAACTTGCAATCGTCCTCATCAAAGAACACGCACAGTTGCTCGTCCAACTCCTCGTCGATTTTCACCTTCTCGACGCCAACTGGCGTGAAAGTGGTGCAATTGGTGGCACAATCGTTTTCGTTTTTCAGAACACCCGTATGGTACATCTGGCACTGTACACAGTCCTTCAGCTCGTGACAACGGCCCGAGCAAGTCGGACACTTCTCACAGTATCTGCCCGAATAGCGGCCCTCGTCGGTGGAATTGCACTTGCAGACGCCGCATTCACAAACGCCGTGGTCTGAGCAGATCGGACCGCCGTTGGGTGGATAGCAGGTGTCCTTGGAAGACAGACAGTTGCAGGAGCTGCCCTCCCAGCCAGAATGACAGATACAGCGGCCGCACACACAGTCACCGTGGTTGGAGCAGAGATCGTTCTTGTTCCGTTCACAGCTGAAGTTCTCGCATTCGCAGAATTTGCCAGATATTATCTCCTCGGGATTGTCGCGCTTATTGCACAGACATTTTCCACAGAGGCATGTGCCTAAACCGTTACAGTCGTGGAGTGTTGTGTTGTCAGCTCGGCAGCTGCTCGGCTTGTCCTTGCTCAGATGGCCATCCGAATTGGAGCACTCACAGGTGTTGCCAAAGTGCTGGTCGTCACACTCACAAATGCCACACATGTAGGTGCCGTGGTTGCTGCACTTAGTCGAGTGCTCCTCGTAGCCGGTTGAGCCTGGATGCTCGCAGGGACAAGAGCACAACATTTCCAGATCGATAACCATGCTCTCGTTGATGCCAACAGGATAGATCTGTATAACCTGCTTCCAGTCTCTCGGATTTAGTGGACATTTTGTCACTTGGATTTGGGCTGTGAAGCTAACTTTGTCGCCGACCTTGAGGCCACCACATTTGGATGTTTTTATTTCGGCACCGCCAGTCAAGCAGGACGAGAAATATGTGATCTTTACCTCGTCTGTGGCATTATCCTTCATTTCGACCGAGGAAGATATTTTCTGCAGTCATAAAAGTAAACAAAAATTAGAATTATATATCTTGAATTTAATCTCTTAATCATTACTTTTAGTTCTAAAAGAGAATATTCCCAATTCTTGATTATTATTTATTGTAATAACTTGTCTACTTACACGATATTCCTGAAGAACTAGGTCCACAACATTGGACGAATCGTTAGAAAGAATGGCGCTAGACGAACCCTCGATGTGGCTGGAAAGCTTCTGATAAATTGAGTGCTGACTCTGTGTAACCGCAAAGATGATGTTGATGGCATTCTGTTTGACCTTCTGGTTGATCTGTGAGATGCTCGGATAGTCTTGTATAATCGAATGGGTGTACATGCCCTGGCTATTCAGATGGCACTCGCCATCGTTCGGTGCAATAACACCGCCGAGCTTGCCATCGCCGGCATAATGGAATCCTGCATCTGTGGAGAAGACCAGAAGACGACGAGCCTGCTCGCGCCAGCCCACCTGCTGGCGACAGGCAATGGCCTGCATAATGGCATCGAAACCGCCCTCGGGCGCATCCAAATTTCCAGACACTGCGGCCTCTTTCACCTCGTTCTGTGCGAGCATTCAATTTAAAGTGGGTAATGATAGAAGCGGGATGAAGAATTCAGTAGATTTGGTAAGTAAATACTGGCGATTCGACGCTTTATAATGTTAATTAGTAAGCGTGGCAAGCATAGATTGGTACACTCTTGGTTAGTAGCCGTTCTAAAAACTCAAAAATCAATATTTTTTGGTATATCTGGTTAGCATTTTGTAGAGACAGCTATCTCTTGAGCAGACAGGCAAAGATGGAAGACAAACAAAGTATTGTTTTAATGTAGGTTCCATTCTTAAGCAAAAAATTTTATAGCTAACGATAGAGAAAAGAGAGTGTAGCTAGCTCGAAAAAAAAACTTTATGAAATTTCTTCTAGCCGTTCACGATTCTACACATTATTATTTTTTCTATATTTAATATTGAAATATGGTATTTTTTAAAGTTAAATAATGTTATGAATTTTTATGGAAATCGTTTTCTTGTTATTATTGTAATCTTAAGAATTTATTCAGAAATTTGTTGTCGCAATCGTTCAATAACGTTTATTCTGATAAGGTGCCTGCAAACACCCAAGGCTTGCTGCTAGGGGCTGTGCCTGTGATAGCGAGCTCGTGAACAGTTCTCGGAGTCAACGATAAGATATGCCTTCGCCTGCCCAAGTTGGCGCTCCTTATCGTATATACCAGTTGCTTTCGAATCCATACAATTTTAAAAAGAAACGCAAACAAATTCAAGAATAACATATTATACATACAAGAGTGTACCCACAGGAGTTTAAAGTTGTTATTGAATGTGCAACTAATCAGGCCATTGACTAAATCATGCCCAGACACCAATTAAATGTTAGTGCGGTTTATATATAAAAATTAGTAAAACATAACGACATCAAGATGGAACAAAAATCATGCAGCATGCAAACAAATAGAAAGCAATTTCTTGTCAGATTAGCAGTTACTGGATAAAATGGTTTTTAAATTTGTTTGCTTATCCGGTTATGAGCGTGAACGACAACTTACAGAGAATCTATATGTGTCCGTGCTCAAAGCCATGACGTTACGATAGCCATACGGAGCATCACATTTAGGACATGGCTCCTCCAAACTAATTTTGATACATGGTTTTGTTTTTGATTTCAAGAAAGCAAGACAACAACCAATATTCGGATATACACAGGCCAGAATAACATAGATATATAGATTGTGTGTGTGTGTGTGTGTGAAAGAGATAAAGAGAGAGATAGATTTTTGATAGATGTAAAATAAAAGATAAATATGTAATTAAAAAAAAAAATCCAAAATAATAATTTAGGAAAAACGTTTGATCCGGTGCAACCGAAAACTAGATACCTTTACAATCATTTTGGAGCAAAATTCTCCCATAGACATTGATTTAATCAAGTACTAAGTTTTTAAATGCCAATATATTTCTATTAAAGTTTGAATTTCTATAAATTTAACCCAAAATTTGTGTTTATTTGAGTTCGAACTATTCGTCCTCGTGAGCAAAATGATTTATGGCTTTTTCTTAAATCAGTAGGCGGACCTCGCAAAATTTTCAATATACATATCTTTGCAAAGGTATTATATTAAACAGAAAAAACAACAAAACACATTATGATAAATATATTGTATACGAATACCGACAGGTGGGAAAAGTCAATTTTTATGCCACGTTTAATAATGTAAGTGCTTCTATTTCAGATGTTTGTGAGAGCGACGAGGTACAAGTATGTATAATAGTAGAAGCTTATTTTATGGGGTCAGACCGACTCATAAATACCTTGTAGCCAACCTTTTCCCCGCGCTATATTCATTGAACTCAAATAAACCTATTCTACCAATTATTCTTATGACGGCTATATTATAAATGAAACCGATTTTGATAAAACTTCAGATTATTGAAAGCCACTATAAATAAATCATAAATATCTTCTTTTTTTGTCATGAATGTGGAAAATACAAGTCTATATACCTCGTTTGGTGATGTTAAATGTTAAAAAGTTTTCAATGTTCATACGGACGGACAGACGGTCCTCTAGCCTTCAGAATTTCTAGAACACCCTTTAAGTCCATATGTTCATAGTCAGAATCAGAAGCGCTTACATAAAACGCGGACATATTAAAAGCATATCCCATATATATGTACACGCACACACAGTCAAACTTAGATATAAATAGTATGTAGCATAATTTAGACAGACGTTAAGGTATGTAGAGTATAAATGCTTATGTACGTACTGGTGCTCAGTGCAATAAATAAATATATAATTGTATATACGAGAATGTAAGTTATAATTAAATATATAAATATGTATATTTAGGGTAATACATCGATAGGTTGTAATATTCATGTTGTATGCTGCTAGCAGCAAGTGCACTGCATATAGTATAGCTAAACGAAATGGAGAGATAGAGAGCAACAAATAAAGCCTTCGCCAAGAGTTAGATTCTTAAGCTATAGTTAGGGCACGAAACGCAAAACACACATGTCCAAGAATTAGAAAGGTGCACAGATGACAACAAGCGATGGTAAACTTATAGATAGACAGATAGATAATAAATACATGCAGGTGCAGAGTACAGCATGTGCGCGTATGTACTATAAGTTGGTTTGATATTAATTTGGGGCTCTTACAGAAAATATATCGGTGTTATTGCTCAGTGGCATGTGATTGCGGTAACCATAGGGAGCCTTGCAATTATCGCATGGATGTTCGAGTCTGTAGGTGGATGGTAATATCGTAGGCGTGATCGTGGTTGTTGTTGTTTGGTACATTTTGTTGATGTGGAGGTGTTTAGTTTTTATTGTTGTTGTAGTTATTATTATTATTTTTGATTTTATTATTTATTTTGGCGTTAGTTAGCATTTAAATAGTTGTTGGTTTTTGCAATAAAAAAAATTAATATAAAAACAATTTGTATTAATTTCAAAGGTCAGCAAAATCAAAAGAGAAAAGGAGCGATGTGTTAAACTAAGTACATTTGTTTTAAACTAACGCAGCTTAATTCAGTTTGTAAAGCCAATAAAAGCAATTTTAATTTTGTATTCTGTTACTTCGAATGTGTTACCATATGCAAAATATTGGTAAGAACCATGACACATAGTATGTTGGTATATACACATGGAATGGATTTGAAGAGGTTTCGAGGCTTGCCTTGTTTGTTTTCATGTTCGGCGTAGCGTCAAAAGTTAATCGGTGGGTTACATTTTGGAAACTCAAATTGTGTTAAGCTGCTTGGCATAAAACTAGACTTAACAGGTAACTTACTGGTCCTATATGTGTATGACATAAAAATAATTCTCTTAAAATATTCAAACTTGACAAACAATAAACAGGTCTTATCTGGTATTCGAATAACAGTCATAAGGCTATGGGTCATCGAAATGGTTCACTAATTATATTATTTAGTGGTAGAAAGTAATACCTACGATACTATCTTAAATAACGATTGTAAAATTAAATGGAATGTGCAGAACAGAGCCCAACATTTCACTTGTCTTCAATTCTTTGGATTGATACTATCATTAAATACATTAAGTTATTTACGAGTTGTGTGGATTATTGGGATAAGGCCAAGTTAAGTTTGAATGTTGCAGCACTTGGTATTTTATTTCTCATTGTTTGTTATACTTTCGGAACAAATGGTAGGTAATCCATATTCAATCAATCAATATTTTCAGCCACCTGTCTATAAGGCCTATTCCCGTTTCCGAATGAATTCGACCATGTTGGGTAAAATCGAAAATTTACCAATTTCTGCACAATTTTTTCGAATTCGGGAACGATAAAGCGCCTCATATGTATGTATGTATATAAACGTATATAATAATACGTAAGACCTAATTTAAGCCGAAATGACAAATTCACTCTAAAAGTGAATAACCTTTTAAGAGAATAAGAAATATTTCGTGCATTCGACAAACTCTTCGTACTAAATGATACACTTGAGCTATGACTAAGACTACTTAGAAACGTTATGAGCTAACCTTTGTAGACAACTAGGATAGGAAAATTGATTACTCACTTCTTGGGTATGGTGGACACATAGGGCATGAGTACTTTATCGACAAACGAACCAAAACCTAAACGGAAATTTGATGTAATGCGCTTCATGGTCTCCGACAATTTATCGCCCAAGGCGGACAACTTTTCCTTATCGTCCTCCATGGATTTAGACAAGTCCATCAAATAGTAGAGATCGACGGGATAGTCCTCGGCCTGGGAATAGCTCACATGGAGGTTATGGATTTGATCTGAAAAAAGCACAAAACGATTAGTTTTTAGAACTACTGTTTGGGACGATCAGTTCCCAATGTCAGTCCCACTTACTGATGCGCAATTTCAAGTTAACACGCTGTGGCTTTATCTGTACGATCTCGCCGGCTGCAGCGGCGGCGCTGGCGGCAGCAGCACCACCATATTGTGCACCGTAGGCGGCGGAAGAAGAGCTTGAGGCCGAACTCTGTTGGTGGTAGCTCCTTTGGTATGAGCCGCCGGAGACGAACTGACCGGCGGCCCAGGCCTCGGCACTTTTGGCCAACGTCAAATTTTTGTTGATTAGTATGGTCTCAGAAGTGTCGGGATTCCACACGAACTCCTCAGGGCAGATCTGGGGCGAGCTGTGCTGGAAGCAGCGCGGTCGATCTCCATAGTCGTCCTTCATGCACCAGGCACAGCTCTGGGTCTGGATGCACTCGTGGCAGTTGATCTTACTTTCGCAGGGATTCTGCTGCAGCTTAGCGGGCATTTCGGCGGCTATGACCACCAACATGGAGAGCAGTATGGATAAACACATTACCCGATGGGACCTCCTCCTGCTAGTCGACGTCGTCGTCGTCATCGTCGTGGGTTGTGTCTTGCGGTGGGCAGGTGGTGTGGCGGTGTCTTGTGGCAATCCCATTGTTTTTTATTTTATTTTTATTCTTTGTATACTTCCTCTCTAACGTGCACTCTTTTTTTCTCGTACTCTTCTTCCTATGTACACATGTAGCTCTCTCACCCTTTCAGTTCTAGGCTAAAGGGCTGCAAGAAAAAAGAAGCGTTTTAATTGGGGCTAAAAACTGATTTACAACACGTTCGTGATTTGCTCGCGTCTTTTTACATAAACATAATCCACACACATATGTATATACTGTAGGTACGTATTTAACCAGCTGCGTATCTTAGGTATGTACATACATACATACGTACTTGTGGAAATATCTATGTATGTATGCATGTATTTGAGCGTATACCTCGATTTTGGTTAAAATTTCACGTCTTTGCGCGACCTGCGTTCGTTGCCAAATGAGCAACAAGCTAACACACACACATACATATGCATACGTAATAAATAAATAAAAAACAACAACAACAACAACAAAAACATCTGTGCAGCCCACTGGGGCGGTTAGTTGGTTGGTCAGTCGACGTCAGCGCCAGCGCCAGCGTCGAAACACACAGGTTTGCCTCATGTTTAATTTTATTTCGATTTTCTTGTTGCTGTTGTTTCTGCTGCTGAGCAATACACTCAGCGTCGTTTCGTACGAACATGACTCATCCAATGTAAAGAGACACACAAACAAATCCACACACACACAAGTTGGCTAAACTGGCCGAGAAATCCGATTTTTCATTAATAGAGCGTGTCAAACGGAACTAAAGGAACTCTTAAAGGCGTCGTCGTCGTTCAATTATTGCACGCTAAGACAGACAGACAACCCACCTTTGCGCAAACAAGGTGTGTGTGTGTGTGTGTATCTCCAATCGCGTAATCGCAGATAGCTCCCATGTTTATAAGTGTTGAGACCATGAGCAGCCAACAAGCAAACATGTCAGGGAAGTTGCCGATTTAGGTTCTTTTAAAAAATTTGCTTTTCTCATTAAATTATATTTGATTAATTCATACATATGATGAAAGGCCTTAAGCACTATTCTAGCAACTAGACCTAATTGGAAATATAACTTACTGCTAAGGCGAGCAAAATATACCAGCTGTTTTCCTTATTTGCCGCGAACTAGAGTTGCTTGATTTTTGAAAAAATATATAACATAGATGGAGTTCCAATTTAGTTCAAGTGGTGTCCCAAAAATGAACATAAAATGCAAATTATTGCAAAATATCATTTGCAAAAAAATAGCAAGCAAGACATCCAATATATTGATATTATATAGTATGTAAGCCGTTTTGTTTATTTTGTATTTGGAGATGACGAAACAGTCAACAATTACAAATTTATGTGAATATAGTATTCCACATACTGACTCATCTGGAATCAAGTGGTACCGCTGGGATATACAATATCGCCGGCTTTCATCCAAACAATAATGAAATTAAACGTAGACAATTTCAACGGGAGTTATCATCTTAATTTTAACATTCTAAATATATGGATAAAGGAATTATATTTAATCTTGTTAAGAACGTTTCCTGCATCAAATGAAAAAGTTGTTCTAAAATTTAATTAGAATCACTTAAAGATTAACATTTTTAGCTTTAATTCAAATAAGAAGGGGAAGACATTAATTACTAAATATCTGACAAATCGTAAATGCCTCGCACCGTAACCAACAACTGCAACCTGAAGAATTTTTAATGAACTGGCATCGAACTGGGGCTAACATTTCGAATAGTAAAATTTTGTAGGATGGGCAAGGTATATAATAGCGTACGCATACACATGCATTCGGTATGTGTGTATTTGCGATTGCTCGATATGTGCCTTTTAACGACACGGAGCAGATTAATGGAAAAGCTAACGGTTCCATGTGTGACTGTGTGACGAGGGCACGTTTCCCTTCCTGCGCGCTCGAATTGAAAATATAAACAAAGACGAACCACCACCGAAACAAAACCTCACGAAATGCAGACAAAGGAGTTCCTTTGTTGCTGCAATCAATTGCAATCAGAAATTGGGTGGATGACAGACCCAGCTAAAGCTTACCGGCAATATCGCAAACTTTTGCACACTTCACTCGGCTTAGTCATGTGAAGGCGACGCCGGCAAAGTCGGTGATGCTATTGCTGATGATATGATGACTAGGCCGCTGATTGCCACTCAGCAAATCGGCATTGAATATCTGGAGAATTCAATGAGCAACGACATTTCGAGGCATGTGTCACCAGAAAGATTGAGAAAAATGTTGAGCTTAAGGCATTAAGGGTATTCCTGTTCACTAAAAACAACTGCATGAACAAAAATTTGCCGCAATTTGGATTTGTGTTGGAGTGTCTCAGCCCGAACCTTTTTTTTTAAGTAAATCATCATTTGGTTACTAATTGCTTCCCTTAAATTTAGCACACTTTGTTCTAAAATATCAGTATAGATGGCGACTTTATTTAAGATATGTACATAAACCAAAAACCTGTAAACAGGTGTTTAGCGACATAAGATTCTGAAATAGCAATCAGGAATACCCACGTTATTATGAAAGAGGTGCATTGCCTTAGTAGAAATTCTTTTCGGCACAGTCATCTGTTTAAATAATCGTGACATAAAATCACATATTCAATCAAAACGGCAAGTTGGTGAATGGCTGAATGATGATTTGTGTTTCAACATGGGGGCAAACAAAAATTGATCATGTGACGTAGAGGGGCGAGAAGAGCAGAAATTGCAGGCTTCATAGCGCCAACTTTTATCATTCTTATTGTGCCCGGTGAGGGCATAATGCTTTGCCTCAAGGCATCGAGGACTGAACACAACAATTCTCCATGCGTATGTTTGTTTATCTCTGTGTGTGTGTGTATGTGTGTTTATGTTTGATTGTATGCGATGTCTAAATATAACAACCCACGCTGCCGCGACCGATAGGCAGCTGCAGGCAGCATTGGGCCAGCATCGTGATCTCTGCACAGTGGGCGCAAAATGTAAACCATTTGCATGCAGCAATTGTCTGCCACGAGATCGTGGAACGGATTAATATTAGATATTCTTGAGGATGTACACAACATATGCAACTGATACGTAAACAAATGTTGACCACTGTGCGAGCATAGAGCATAAAAATATATGTATGTACTACAAAATCGTGGGCAAAAAACTATGGCCAAAAAGCAGCACCAAATCTTGCACACACACACACACACATTGACGAGTGTCTTGGCCTCGTACGCACGCCCACAAACAACAGCATCTGCGACACACCAGAATGTGGGCGTCAGCAACTCGTACTTGTTGTTGCTTTAAGGCAGCGCGATAAACAGACAGCAACAACGACACCAAAGAGTGTGGGACATTTCCTTGAGAGTTACAATTCCACCCCACAGGCAATAAGTAAACGATTTTGGGACTTAAAGTTACAGAACTACGACGCGCACGTTGCAATTAGTAGCGGCGACTCCTGATTTTTAACTTTAAATTCAGCATTTGTCTGATTATTTTATTTTACTCCAACTTCCCGACTGCAACCAACGCCAACAGCGCTCAGTAAATATCACATACACGACATACACACACACGCACGCTTGTGCACATACAGTGTGGCTTTGTATGCGTGTGTCGTCGTCGTAGTCATTGCGAATGAAATCATCACTCTGAGTAACATTTTTGAGTTAAATCAAATGCAGTAATAAATGTATTATTTTATTACGTAATTTAACTTCGTTCGCAATATTTCATGAACACCCAAGCGTTTGATTGAACCTAAATTGACATTTTTATACGATTTCAATTAAAATTTCAGTAAAATATTTCCATCAGGGTGGCGACGTCTTCGCTGCTCAATGTTTTATTTTGATTTCATTTAACACTCACACACTTGTGGAAGCTGAGCCACCACTCACGGGCACAATCAAACTTTACTTAATTCTTAAATGCCACTCTTGAAGCATTTTTATTTTGCATTTGCTACACGTATTTGCCACCAGTTTGTTTAATTTATTTAATACAAATAAAATGCTATACAAATCAACAAGAAAAAAATTACTTCGTATGCCAATGTACCGTCCACAAACGTCCGCGCCGTCTATCGCTTATCATAAAACTGGAAGTCTGTGAACGAAAGTGTGACCATATATTTAAAAGTATTGGTTCTTAGCAGGTATCCAACTTTTATTTTAGCCGTTATATACAAAACAACAATTTTATATTAATAGTAGGTAGTTTCTCTTTTTATCCAAAAGTTTTATTTTAAATTGCACGTTATTTTACAGCCATAATTAACGTAATAAAACTATATACATATGTGAAGCGTTAAAAGTCACATTTTATTTGCTTTTGTAAATAATTATTTTATTTTTTGGTGCAAACATTGTATATTTTTCAAAGCAGTATCAAATTGTCTATGCCTGCTTTTAAACTTAATCGTGTCGGTTGGGCTTCTTCATTTAAATTGATTCAATTTGAATCTTGTTTTAATACCAAATCTGCAATTTAAAATGAGTTTTACAAAATAAATAATTTTACAAATAATTCGATCGTTAAGCTAAGAGGCAGCACTGCACAGCTGCGTGCAAAACATTGGGCACACTAATGCGACGCCATCTAGCGAGTACAAAGATTGCAACGTTCGAAACGCGTTGGCCCGTTCGCCATGTCGAATGTAAATAACAACAGGCGATAAATTGTTAACAAAAAGTAGTGCAAGTGAGTGCAGTGAAGTCATCAATTGTGTCTGTGCCAAATCAGAGCATCAAATAGTGAGATATCGACGCAGGCACACAAGCCCAGCATCGGATCAGTAGTTACAAAAACCAACTTAAGCTGAAAGTGGCAACGCTTGCTGCCGCACTTGCAATCGCACAAAGAAAACTTACTAGGCAGATAGGCAGGCAGCTCAAGGCAAACGCATTACCTTGGAGTGTTGGGTGGGTGCCCACCATGGAAGATTTTGATATCGATCTTAATTTTATGCAGCTGAGCCGGCAAGAGTTGCTACAGCGCTACACGAGCGCTGTCCGTCAGCTGCGACGCATTGCTGAGGCCAACTATGGGGTGCGTCCTCTGATCTTCGATAATTATGTGCTCTTTCAGTATTTCCAGCAGCGCAGCTGGCTTCAACTGAATAGTCCGCTGTATAACACAACGACACCATTGGTGAGCTACCTAAAGTTGGAGGTGCTGCACCACCTCCTCGATCGTCGGCGGCAGATACTGTGCTGGCTCTTTTACCTTACTTTGGTTTCGCTATGTGTGGTGGCGTACCGGTACGAGACATCGAGTGCATCCAACGGAAAGATGGTACAGTCCATGGTCTATCCAGGAATGCGGATGTGGCGCCGCATGACCATGCCACTCATACAACGTTTCCCACGACTCACCGAGCTCTACGACGAGTCCTGTCTCATGGGCAATCCGTTCTACCAGCTCGAGGATCTCAGTTGCGGTCCGTGCGCAAATGTGGAGACTGTCTGGTTCGAAAGCGAGGAGTGCGCCCAACTACTTGTCAGCAGCAATGACATTGAGTCCGATTCCAAATCTGAGATGGTGGGCGGCTACCACATGATGGCTCCAATCGAACGCTGTCAGAAGCCCGCAATTCATGTGCCCTTTGCTTTCAAGAGCAGTCAGCATGCAATTGATTTAAATGACTTCTACAACATTTATGCCAATAACCACAAGATCTTCCAACGCGATGCCTATCGCGTGCATTCCACCAATCAGGGCGTACACAATCTCGAGGATTTATTCGGCCAATTCAATAGCAGCAGCAACGGAAGTGGAAATGTTCAGAGAGCAGCATCATCCACATCTTCCCCCACTTGGTCGCAACAGGCGCACAATTTGTGGCGTTGCAATCGCATGCTGCCAGCCCGCCTCCTGCGACCCATTTTTGCGCGTCCCTCGCGTCTCCCCAGCATGGGTGTCGCCCTCGAACGCTATGTAGCCATCGATACAGCACAAGCTCCATCATATACGTTGCCCGAAACGGAATGCCCAAATGTTTATGTGCATCAGGCCGTGGGCACACGCTTCATCATTCTGCGTCCGACCAGCGAATGCCGTCAGCGATGTCGGACACTCTCCCTGCGCCTAACGCAGTCCTTTGTGCGTGAGTATCCTTTTTGTAATCTATCTGTTTATCTGTGTAATGTAACTGATGTCTTCGATTTTTTGCAGTCAGTTACAATTGGTTGTACTGGAAACCGATCTCTGCGCCCGATCCCATATCTGAGTCGCTTTCAATTAGTCTGATTGGCTCCTATTGCTAGACGCCCACGTTTTTTAGCTCTAAGCGATTAACACACAACTGCAATAATTAACCCGATTGTATCCAAGAGTTACAAATTATTGCAACTATTCATCATCAGCATCATCATCATCTTCATTATATACATTTATATGCCAAGCCAAAATAATCACTATACAGGAAACACACAAATGCTAATCCCATTCAAAATGGCTAGCTATTCTTAATGTGTAAATCGCTTCCCTCACCTATTGCCAAGGTATTACCGCCTGGTCCGTAGTTCATAAGGCTGACTTTATGTTTCATTTTTGTGTTCAACTCAATTCCTTTACTTTTTTGTAACCAACTGCATTTAATATATAAGTTCTACTATTATGTTTGATATTTTATGTTTTATACCTACATGTACACCATTATATACACACACACATGCATCTGCATAGGCAATGTGGGAGGGAGATATGCAGAAATTCGATTTTAGACTGTAGCTGAACCTAAAGCTGAAAAAGTTGTAAATATGTATGTATGTTTGTATCTGTATGAAACGTTTGCCAAAATACAGTTCGATTTAACACCACAATGCCCATGGCGTTTCAAGTGAAATTTATTATAAAATACACAAAACCAATCATATGTATATACATGCCGATTTTCATTGATTGGAATAGGAGAATCCTATATGGCTGCCCGCCGCAATTCATCGAAATATGACCCAGTCATAAGATCAGCCTCCAGGATGCCAAACTTTTCGCTTAGCTGCTCAGCAATTACCTGGCCCTGTTCCAGGGTCTCTGACGGCTGCAGGCACACCTCAAACTCCATGAAGTAGCCCAAGTCCTGTACCTCGTCCAGATGAATACGCGTCTGTTCGTGCAGGTAGAGATGGCGTTTCTTGGCCAGCACACCCAGGGATCCGTTAGATTGGCACAGTATCTTTTCAAGAACCGCTGGTTCGTCCACCTCGATTTTGTTATATTTGGATAGCTTTGGGCCTGCTACGTCAGGTCGGTCGTAGTAAACCAGCTGGGAACGTGATGGAGCCTGCAAAAAGCGTAGCTTCAGGCGGCCGCCTAATGGCGAATTGAAGAAAACATCACGCTGCACGATGAGTTCTCCTTCAGCGCCAGTCAGCTGCCTGGCAATGTTTATGCGGCGTTTAAACTCCTCGGAACTGCCTATGCGTGCCTTGATCTCGACATTCCGTTGGTTTTCGGGCACGTCTCCGTCGCACATACTGGAGTAATTCTTTCCAAAAATATAAAATCTAAATGCTCGTTGCCACCTCATTTAAAAGATTAACTTGCACCGCCAACGAGGGCTACTCTGAAAAACAAAGTGGAATGAAACACAGCTGGCTTTTGCAGCAGTGGCAACCCTCAAGCTCCTATCCCTTTGCTAAAATTATTTCCAATTGAGGACGCAAACGCAACTGGTCATAAATCGAGCCGCCGGCGTCGTTTCAAGATGGTCTTTTATTTCAAGAGCAACATTGTTCAGCCACCTGCCATGCTGTACATGGGCCGCGACAAGCACGAGAATGAGGAGCTCATTCGCTGGGGCTGGCCCGAAGATGTTTGGTTCCATGTACACAACTTGTCGTCGGCACACGTTTATCTGCGTTTGAAGAAAGGCCAGACCATCGATGATATACCCACAGATGTACTTGTTGATGCCGCCCAGCTTTGCAAGGCGAACAGCATCCAAGGCAACAAAGTGAACAATTTGGAAATTGTCTACACTATGTGGGAGAATCTGAAGAAAACGCCGGACATGGAGCCCGGTCAGGTTGCCTATCACGACGAGAAAGCTGTGCGCAAGATACGACTTGAGAAGCGTGTCAACGAAATAATTAACCGCTTAAACAAAACCAAAACAGAGGACGAACATCCCGACTTTCGTGGACAGCGTGAGGCACGCGATGCCGCCGACCGTCAAGATCAGAAACGTCTGCAGCGCGAGCTGCGCGAAAAGGAGAAGGAGGCTGCCAAGCAGCGTGAGCTGGAGGCGGAACTGCGTAGTTATGCATCGCTACAAAAGCCCGAGAATATGCGCACCAACTACGACGCCGGCAACGAATCCGACGACTTCATGTAGGTGGTGCCGGTATGAAGTGACTAGCGTAGCATTTCAATATAATTTTTATATATATTGTACATGTATATTAAGTGCTATTTTTTTAAAATCGTTAATTAAACAAATTTTCTACTGTGAAACCGATGAGTGCTTAGTCTTACGTTTTCGCAATAAAATTCCATGACGCTTTTACACAATTATTGGTATTTCGTGAGTCTCATCACCATTACACCAATGGTTATGTGCTTTTCCTTTTATAACGGTTGTAAATCATGGTAACCTTATAGGCGACTAAATGTTCTAAATACAACGTTTTGGGAAGACGGGAGTCAAATTATATATCTAAAGGTACATATGTATTTGCACAGCGCGCCAAGTAAAACATTGCCACACAACCAAAAAAACATTGAAATATTCGCCACAGGCCAAGTGTTTGCTACCACATGGTGAGTATAGACCGCCATCTGTTAGCAATAGTTTGCAGTGCTGGTAAACAATACCGTTAAAGACGTGCAAAATTTCAAATGCCAGGCAACTGATTTTACAAAGTCGAACTTGACTCGATTTGTGTTATTCAAATACTTTTGTATCGTACAGCACGTAAACGGCGATCAGTATAAAAAAGGGTTTTTTTGAAATGCAAATATCGAACATGAATGAAACTGTCGTCAAAAGTAATGGTATTCAATTAAAAAGCTCATTTATTTTTTTACACATAGTTTTTGTTTTCTTTTATTTATTCATATGCTTTGTCAATTACATTTACACATATATTGTATGCTAATACTTTGTGCTTGCTGCACGCCTTTCACTAATTTCTTACATCTTTGCTTGAGCTTCTCTAGCTCTGGCTTTGTTGCTTGGTTGGTTATTTTTATTTCTCATGCACGTTTATGCATTTCTGCTCACTTGGCTTTTCTACTTAAATGTTAAACGCATGCTGGAAATTTGTTTTCCTTTGCCAATTAACAATTATATGTTTATTCATTCACTTAACTAATATGTTATATGGTATGAACTTGTGCTTTGAGTCTTTGAAATATAAATTATTTTTTAAAAAAAAAAAGAAGGAAATCGACCAAACTTTTGTATTTTTTTTTTGCAGTTCCACAGCTTGTACATAAAACTGTCAGAAACAGAGATGATTTGGTGTATTTGTTTTCAGTATAGGTTCCTAGTGCGATTTGCTTGAATGCGTCGAATGTGTCTAAACATAGTTAATACAATACACGTACATACATATTCATATCCATACACATATATATGTTTATATATATATATAAATGTAATAGAAAAAACGTACAATTAATCAAGAAAAAATATATAATCAGTCATTGAAGTTAATAGATATAAATACATGTACAAATTGTAGCTCAGACAATTACATATCAATTCAATTCGTTTAACAATTAAGAATTACATTTTAAAGTATGTTTAGTTTGCGCATACTGCTTCTTCTTCTTCTTCTTCATCATCATCATCTTCTTATCTTCATAATCTTGTTGCTTTGCTCTTTGCATCGCTAATCGCGGATCGCAGATCGCTGATCGCATTCATCCATCCATGGATTCTTCTATATTTATGTATATCGCTTAGACTATACGGTATATAAATACCATCTGGCTTAGTGCTGCTAAGATCTGCATGCATTTGTTTGCCGCTTAATTTGTGTATGAGAAAAAAATTGAATGCATTTCATTTCGTTTAATTTTTGTTTTGCTGCTTATGTGCTAGAAATTGCATTAATATGGCCTATATATTTATTATTAATCATACATATATAGTATGTATACACATATATATGTTAGAACACACACGTAGTATTATTGAATACAATAAAAGCATTCCAAAAAGTAAGTTTCAATGCACATACACAGTAAATAGTAAATAGTTACAGCTTAAGAAGAGGCTTATGTTTTAGATATGCTTTTTGTTTTTTCATTTCTTTTCCTTTGTTTTGTTTTGCTGTTTCTTCTCCCCATCAGCTGTCGTCAGCTGATTGCATCAGCTGATAACGTTTCTTCACTTCGCTTCCCATCCTCTTTAATATCCCTTTCAGGACCTTATCTAGAGAGTGCCAGTAGAATAAAGCACAAGTTTTCTTTTGGAAAATCAAACACACTCACACAATTATTTGAAATTAAATTTTAAAATTCTTACACTTGTAACAGTTACGCGTATGCGAGTTTGTTGTCGTCATCGTTATAAGAGAAATTAAATATAATGAGATTGCGCAAGCTATAATGCAAACAAACACATCTACAGGCACACACCATACTCACACACACTCACACTCGCACGCACACACACGCACTCACACAAAACAAACTAACACTCTTCGAAAGGTTGGCGACGCCTGCTCAATGGAATCAAACATGAAGTTGGTAGTGAGTGGGGGGCCAAAAAACAGAGAGAGAGAGAGAGAGAGAGAAAAGAGTTGCTTAAATTGTAAGCAAACATTATTGTTATCACAAGTTTTTGCTTTGTAATGTGGCCAGCAGGTTGAAAATGAAAAGAGCACGTTCCAGAATTGGTGAAAACAGACGACGCACAGATAGACAGACAGACATACACACACACACAGTCACACTCACACTTACACTCACACTTATACTCCCACGTACACTCACTTAGCACTCATGTAATAAGTTATTAATTGAACAAATGTTAAAAAAAAAGTATATCGTTTGCGAATTTGTACAACTAAATGGATACAAGAAATGCTTGTAAATCTCAGATCTCTCGTTTTTGATCCTAATAAAAAAAAAATTATGTTTAGGGGATAACTACTACAACTATATATGTATATATATCCATATAGCAGCGCACCAGCAACACAAACACATTCCATCCAGACGCGCCACAAACAGCAGCTGCAGAGCATCATCACTTTTCGCCTGATATGTTACCCTGACCGCCCCCCGTTAACAATCTCTTTCCATTCTAATTTCTCTCTTCTATGTCCTTCTGCTACTGTCCTCGCTCTCTCGCTGGCTCTTTCTGCTGGATTGCCTGTGGCGCCTCTCAGACGAATGTCTCTCTGATGACGGTACTGCTGCTACTGTTGCTTAGATCTTAGAACTCGGTTGATTGTCAGACAAATGACGAGAAGCCGGGCAGTGGTGCTCTCGATCTGGCCATATTATTGACAATAATCTGACCACCATTGAGGCTCATCACTGCACTGCCCTCCGGCTCGGAGTCAGTATAGCTGGAGTAGTTACGGACCGGTTTGGTCTTCTTCCACGACTGTCGCAGCGAGTCATTCACATTAGCGTAGTGATTGACAAATGAATGCGGATCGGAGCGCACGCTCTCGTTCTCGCTCTCCGAGTGCTAAAGAGCAGGGGAATCCAAATTAGTGGAATGTCCATCATGGGGTAGAGTATAGTTTAAGAAACTCACCTGTGAGGCCTCCGAGCTGCTCACCTCGGATGGCTTCTCGGTCACGCTGCTGTCATCGGGATTCTCATCGTAGCACTTGAGACTCTCCTCATCGCTGTGATAGGCCACTGATGCGGGCGATGGGCGTGGCGGGCTCTTTCCCAGCTGCATATTGGTGGGCGGCCGATTAGTTGACTTGCGTCCCAGGGTGCCGAGCGTGCCGCTCCTTAGTGTTCCCACACTGTTGAGGGTTCCTGTGCCGACGCCGTGCCGCGACCGATACAGCTCCAGAGCTAACTCCTGACGCTCATCAATGGACATGGCCATGGACTCCTCCAGCGTCTTTTGTGCCTCCTCTGCAAATGATCATTAATTTAGTTTACGGAACACTTGCAACCCGTAAGCGCCTCACTCACGTTTGTACTTGTAGCTCTTGCTCTTCACACAGAGGACGGCGATGACCATAACTATGATGACAATGGAAGTGGCAGCGAGTGCCACCATGAACCAGGTTTGCCTGTAGAAGGGCTTGTGCTGCAGATAACCGTACTCCAAGTGGAGCTTGGATGGTGTCAGTATGGAGTCCTTGGAGTACACCGGATAAGAAATGCCGAATCGGTTGTACGCAATCACACGGAATGTGTAGGCGGTGGAGGGCATCAGTATGTGGTAGCTAACTGTGAAGTCCTGCATGGTGCCTTTCTTAGTTTTTTCGATTTTGGTCCAGCGGGAATCGTCTGTGTGGAATGAAAGCGCTGAGGTTAAAGAAATATGATCTGGCCCATCAGAGAAATTACATGAGTGGTATTATCCACTTTTTTCAGAAATTAGGTTAAGCTTGACCCAGAGACCGTTACAATTAATAATCGAAGCATAAATTAGTTTCCAAAAGGTTTCGAAATCAATCACTAAAGTAATTCAAATAAAGTAATTGAGAAAATGAAAATAAAAACTATAAACTGGTAGAAACATAAGCAATTATTTAGATTTATTTGCCAAAAACCATGGTATATAATTGATTTTAGATAAAAGGTATTGCAAAGAAATTATAATGGCTATGCTTGATGAGAGAACAATAAGTTCCCTCACTTACAAATCGTAATTGTAACTTTGGTCCCTGGTTCGGATATTCGGTTAATTCTACAGCGCGTAATACTTACAAATAAATGAGGGTTCTCCTTTTTCTACGCAAGCATTTTGTAAAAGTTATTGCATAATGAATTTCATAGATTTGGTAGCAATTTTGTATTTTATAGTTTTTGTTTTTGTTTTTTTTTGTTTTAAAGCACCACTCCACCAAAGATTAAATAGAATAAAGGGAAGAGCAAAAATATTGGACAGTTAGTGGAGTCCCAAACCGAAAAGTACCGCTAGATATACTAGAGGATTAGAGCAGAGCCACTTACCGCGCTTCTTGGCCTCAATAAGATAACCCAAAATAGGGCCATGACCTGACGGTCCATTGATCCAATGCATTTCCACGCTTGACAGTGTCTTGGTGAGTATCAGATCGCGAGGAGCCACCGGTGAGCCAAACTGCGGTCCAGTGGTAACATTTTCGCTCACCGCCGGGCCATAGTCGATGGTCTGGGCCCGCACGGTGAATGTGTAGGTTACTTCCTCCTCCAGATTTTGAACGCGCAGTGTTGTGTTGGAGACCTTTTGCTTCACCTGCTTGCTGAACTCTGTAAAGGGTTTTACGGTTAAGGAGGGGTCCAGAATATTTGTTAGGGCTATAACTTACTCTCATTCTCCTCTGTCGTCTCGTAAGTGACCAAGTAGCCAAGTATTTCACCATTGAGGAACTTGGGCGGATCCCAAGTGACCTCTAGGCTTTGCATGGTGATGTCACTGAAGCGCAAATTAAGCGGCGCACTTGGCACACCCTGGAGAGTCTTGACCGTTATGGGAGACGAACGCGGTCCATCGCCGGCCGGATTGAAGGCCAATAGCTGTATGCGATATTCGGTGAATTTGTCCAAGAAAACTAAGCTATGCGATGTGGCTGTCGCAGAGACAACCTCAATTTCTTCCTCCCATTTGCGTCCCTCCTCCAACACCTGCGGTGATTCGGTTACGAGATAGAAGATCTTATAGCCCAATATATCGCCGTTTTGCATGCTCTGCTTTGGAGGTTTCCAACGCAGGCGCACTTCGGTGCTGGATATGGGCGCTGCATCCACCGCACGCGGCTCACCGGTTGGTACTGCCTCACCCACATAAACAGCTGCTGGTGGCGTCGCCGGACCCGGTCCCTGGGAGTTGAAGGGGAGCACAACAATCTCATAATTACGATCCTGCTGCAAGTCCGAAAGCACCACACTGTTCACATTTATGCCCATCACATCTGTTTTGGGCGTAGATTGCAGCGCCGTGGGGAAGTCTGATAGTTGTTGATAGAGTATTCGGTAGCCGCCTGTGGCTGCATCTCCATTCCACATGCCCGTCTCTAGGGCGTTCCAGTGCACACGCACCGATGTGGTAGTAATGGGCACCACTTTCAGACCAGTAACACCCACAGCGGGTGCTGCGGGAAGCGTGCGCACTACAATGCTCTCACGACTGAACGCCGAGGGTCCCAGGTCGTTGGTGGCCTGTATGCGAAACTGATAGGTGGTATGGGGACGCAGACCCTGTGCCGTGTACGAGGTCAATGCGGGATCCACACGCTCCGGTAGCGGCAACCAAGGTCCTTCGTTTTCACGCATTTGCACAGTGTAGTAGCGCAATGGCGCATAACCATCGCGTCCCGGCGTCCAGCTGAATGTTATCTGATGGGCTTGTATCTGACTGCGTGACACCTGTGGCATGGAGGGCGATTGAGGCCGCTCGCGATTGTTCGTTGTGTAGACCAAAACGGTGGCTGTCTTGCCCCAACCCAGGCGCGTTTGTGCTGTCACGCTAAAGCTGTAGTAGCGCTCAGCCAACAGCTGAGTGGCTCGAAATGTTCGATCCGAGGGTGGGAACTCACGACTATAATTTAAATTGGAGCTTCCGTTCAGAGTGTAGGTAACCTGATAGGCCATTATTTCCCCATTCGGATCTTCTGGCACATCCCAGATGATGCGTGCCATCGAGAACGTGACATCAGGAAAACTAACATTGGATGGTGCGCCTGGTGTATCCTCAAAGGTTTGGACCCTAATGGGCGGTGTGCTGAGAGCACCATCCCCAAGACGTGTGTAGGCCAGCACTTGAACGTGGTAGACAACAAATTTCTTCAGCTCCGTCAAAGTGGTTGTAAAGGAGCTGTTATTTGGTATGGTCTTATGCAGGACCTGGCCGCCACGATCGGTGGCCACATAGAACACTTTGAAGCCGTCGATCTGTCCATTGCGATGCTGGCGCGGCACTTCTCCCCAACGAACCACAACGGTCGTCGATGAGGTGGCATTCGCCTGGACATCGAGTGGTCCGTAGGATGGTGTGGCTTCACGCGTGCGCTCCACTGCCGTGACACTATCACGTGAGCAGCCGACATCGTTGCAGGCATTCATGAGCACTTCGTAGACAGTCCACTCCTCCAGGCCCTCCAACACATGCGAGTTGGCTGTGTGATCCTCGATGAGCACACTGCGTGCTGCAGTCTTGAGGGTCGTGCGCTCCATCTGGCGATAAGTGATGTTGTAGCCTCGCGGGTTGCCGAACCACTCGGTTTGCTGCAATGGAATCCAGCGCACGCGCAACTGCTGGGCACTCATGGCGCGCACGGTCACATTGAAGGGGGCGTGCATGGGACGGGCCTGAATGGTCTGGAAATCTTTGGTGGCTTCCGAAGGCTTCGAGGATCCTACAACATTGGTGGCACTCAATCGCAAGCGATACTGTGTGAATGGCATAAGACCTGTCACGGTGAGAGTCTCTGCATCGGGATCACTAATCTCGCATATGGTGAACCAGGTCATGTTCCGAGCGGTCTGAGCCTCGACCTTCCACTTGGTTATGGACGAGTTGCCATCGAAGCCGGGCGTAAATTGCAGCACCACGGAAAATGCCTCAATGTTTGAGAGTGCCAGGTTGGTGGGTGCATGTGGAAGTACTGGTTCGACGCCTGATTGTATGGTTGCCGTCTTCGGGGGCCCGTAACCAATGCGCGACTTTGCACGTATTTCAAACCAATAGTGCGTTGTCGCCTGCAGTTGTGTGACCGTCAGCTGTGTGTCTTCGGCCGTCAAATTGATCGACTTCATTGTCTCCGGACGATCTTTGACTTGATAGCGCACCATGTAACCGGTGAGTATGCCATTAAGGTTCTTTGGCGGTGCCCAGAGCACCTTGACAGACCGATCGGACACCTCATCGAAGTGCAGTGCGGTTATTTCATCGGGGACATCCTCTTTGGTTTTCACATAGACTTTGCTGCTGGCCACACCGTCGCCGGGATCGGTAAAGCACAATACTGTGATGTTGTATTCAGCAAATTTGTCTAGTCCATTGAGGATGGCTGTTTGCTCGGCCAGAGGATCGATGAGACTGGGCGGTACCGTTATCATGCGCTTCTCAACGTCGCGTGGTTCCCCTTCGATGTAGCGCTGCTGCCACGCCTGTATCTTATAGCCCTGATTGATACCATTGATCTGTTGTGGATTAGGAGGCGTCCAACTAATACGCGCCGCCGTCGAGTTCAGGGCCTGCACCTTGAGTTGTGTGGGCGGTGCCTCGGGTACACCTTCTTTGGTCTTGATTTTGGAGCCGTCTGTGTATACACCGACACCCATGTTGTTGTAGGCCGCAATTTGCACAATATAGTCCTTCCAAGTGATCAGCTCTTGAATGAGGAAATTGCGTTGGGCCTCGTTGGTAATATTCTGGTACGACCAAGGTACATTATTGTAGCCAAAGAGGCGATAACGCAATATATAGCCCAGTATTTGTCCGTTTCGGTGCTCCTCCAGCGGCGGTTGCCACTGGGTTATGATCTCGGACATGGAGCGAGCGGAACCAACGAAGCCAACAGGTGGACCCGATGGTGCTAAGGGGCGGGGCAAAAGATGGAGTTATTCAAAAATGTTGCTTAAGCTAACAAGCAAGACAGTGCTATTATGTGTGTGTATGTGTGTGTGTGTATCGAATACTATCGAGTGTTCTTGTGTGTTCTTTGGCAATGTACCTCGATGAAGCGGAAACTCTACGCAGTTTAATTTCATGTTTGTAATAATTTTTTTTTATATATGTATATATTTTTTACGGTCACAAAGCGGTGGCGACGAGGGCGATGACGCAGTTGACGACAACGATAGCGATAGCAGTTAGAAGTACAATACATAGTTTGGAGTATTAGTTCTTTACACTATTTATACTTATATACGGGTGCTCTATAGATGGGTTGCTGATATTTGCGATATAATATTAATATACCAACGAATAATTGTGTAAAATAGGCTATATGGGGGTATAACTAAAAACGAAATTTCGATTAGACGCAATTACTATCGAAATATATATAATCTTATCTGGTTCAAAAAAGACGCCATTTTGTATATCAACCATCTACGTTGACCTACCATCTAAGAACTAAATCTTGTTTTTAAAATGGCAGGCTTACAAAGTAGAAAAGAAAATGTCTGACTACAATACTAATATCAACAACCCGTATCTTTACGCATAAAAATAAAAAGGCGCTCGTCGAGTCCTTAAGATTTTGCCGAGCGTTTAAGTATTGGGTTGGGCAAAAGGAAATCCATTTTTTCGTTTCGAGTTAGTCAACTTTAATATTGTAAAGTGTTGGCCACACTGAGTTATGCATGGGCTTATTGAAAACGTGGGATTTTCCTCTCTTGTGGAAATGATTGAAGCAGACCGGCATGGTCAACAATTTTACCGTTTGAAGCCAAAAAGTCACCTGACTTGGCCAACAGAAAAGGCAGTTTTATTACTCGCCGGAAATTCTGGGAGCTTGGTGGGGAGAGTTTAAGGCATCCACCGTAATGTTTTTGAAATCGGTTGAACAGTTGTTCAGCAGCAAGGACCACCAGCTCTTTTGAGAGAGGAATTATTAAGCTATATTGCCTCAAAATGGGACATACCTGACCCAAATCGGGCCAATTTGAAAATAGGGCGAAACGTAGAGATTTCTTTTCCCCCAACCCAATACAAATAATGTAGCACACAAATAAATATTGAACTCATTGGCAATAAAAATAGAGGCTTGTAAAAAAGCACAATTAAAAGAAAAGCTAATACGGAATTGAACAGAAATATAGAAAAACATAATGGAACAAACACACAATACATGTATATATATATATATATATATATATTTAATTAGGCACCTCTAGAGGCCTCCACCTACCTTCTTGTGGCAACTCAACCACATTGCTGGGATCCGATGGTGTGCCCTCGCCAACGCCATTTACAGCGCTGACACGAAACTGATAGACAGTAGCCGCCTTGAGGTTCTCCAGCAAAATCCAACGCTGATCGGCAGAGACATTGCTCAGCTCCGTGATCCAGTTGAGCAGGGGATCTGGAACTGGACCTACGAATTTTTCTATGATTGTTAATGCGTTGAGAAAGGCAGTGCAGAGAGTGAAGTGATTGTTAAGTGAGTGAGCAGAGGAGTGAGTGTTAGGCCAGAGACGGAGAGAGAGAGAGAGAGAGAGAAATGTGTTATGTACAGTGAGTGAAGTGAAGAGCGTGATGTAAGAGTGTTTATTTTTTGTTTTTGTCGTGATGTTCAACAATATACAAGTGTGTGTGTGTGTGTGTGTGTGTGTATGTGAATAAAAATAAATTGCAAATTTTTATATTTAATTGATAAACAAAATGTACAATATATTAGGTGCAAATTACATGTACAGTAAGTAGTCGAGCGTTGCCACATTTTTCACAAATGGACATGGATTGAAGTTTCGTATATTTTTGTATATTTGTACCGTTCGTTGTTGTGGCATGGTAGCATTTTCAAAAGAGTAATTATAATGGAAGGAAAGTAAAGAAGAGAGAGCGCACGCGATTAGAAGAAGAAAAAAAGAGAGAACAAAACAAATAAGTCAAAAATATAGTCAAACTATTGCTGTGTAAACCAAAATAGTTTACAATAAATAATGTTCGTTCTTTATTTGCTATTGTTGTTGTTGCTGTTGTTATTGTATCTGTTGTGCCTCTGCTCTTGTAATACTTAGTTTCAACTCTCCTAGTTGTTCTCGTTGTAAACTTGTTAAAAGAAAAAGCCTCCACTTTCTTCATTCGCACTTTTCCAACTAATATTTCTTTGATGAGAATGGCGGCATAAAATCTCAAAAATTCAAAAAAAAAAAAAGCCCTAGATTTCGTCCATTTACATACATACTAGGAACTACTAGTACTACTCGTATGTTCATACTTCATTCAGCATTTTTCCCAACACGTACGAAATAAATTTCTCAAGAAAACATTATTTGCCTCTTACTTCCATGTACGTGGTACGTGACTCTTGGGCTTCTGTTTTTTTGGCGATTGAGAAATATGAATCGCTTGCATGTGAGTGCCAGGAGCGCATAAAAGTAAACGCCACTCATTTATGTCGTTGGCTACACGAAGCCATCAACAATCAGAGTTACGAGTATTTATGGCGTTGTGCGCGTTCAGAGATTTGTTTAAACATTGTCCTAATCGGCATTAATTATTGCTGACACCAAAGCATTTTCCAGGACCATTTGACCTTTGGTACTTGCGCGTTGGCGGTTAAATGGGCGCTCAATCAATCAAACCGGCAGCTAACGAATAGGTGGCATTGTCCTGGACTGCTTGGAATAATGGATTATCAATCTTTCTTCAGCAAAGTTTCCTTTTTTATTAATTGATTTTTACACAACTTTTGACTGTGTCAGGAATGAGATTATACTTTCGGAACTGTTGTTTCGAAATTTGAAATACTAATTACAATTCAATTGTGCATTAAAGTTGAATGTAATAAAATGTTCCCATAGATAATACTTGTAGTAGCAGTAAAAAAAAAAAACATAAAAATATCCTATTCTTCTCAATACAAGTGTCGATATTCGTTGGAAAGCGCAACTATTTAAACCGACCTAAGTATATAGTATCTTTACAAGGTGCGATCCAAAGTAAACAGGACTTTTTGAATCTGTATGTCGACTGGTGCGTTAGAATCTGCTATCTTTATCGATTGTCCAGTGAGAATTTCATGACATTTCATCGATTGGAAGTGAAGTTATTGCGTTTTAAGTGTCAGTATGTTTGTGTTATCGGTGCGAAAATCAGCTTCGAACAAAGAGCCAACATTAAATTTGGTTTTAAAATTGGTAAAAACTTTTACCGAAACGTTTCAATTGATGGAACAAGTTTATGGCGATGATTGCCTATCCCGTAGCAGAGTGCACGAGTGGTTTCAACGTTTTCAAAGTGGTCGTGAGGACATAAATGACGATCAACATGTGGGCCAATCAAAATTCGTGATCACCGAAAATTCCTTCGACAATTCATCAAAAATCAGCCGAAATCATCATTGAAATTGATAGAATTGGAATTGAACATCTCCAAAACATCGATTTATCGCATTTTGACCAAGCATTTGGGCTTACGAAAGGAGTGTGCACGGTTTGTTCCGCACAAATTGACTGACGACCAAAAATTGCTCAAAAATCAACCGATTGTGACCGATTATTTGACCAAAAATTACATTTTAACCATTAACCACTCGCCGTATTCACCTGATATGGCACCGTGCGACTTCTACCTTTTCGGAAAATGCATTTGCCCATGAAGGGAAAGCGTTATGCAGACGTAGGGGCCATTCGAAAGGCTTGCACTGGCCAACGAGCTAAAAAAAAGCAAAAAGCTGTATTGAAGCAGAAGGAGACTATTTTGTTGTGTTTTTTTTTAAGTCCTGTTTACTTTGGAGCACACCTTGTATAATTATCTTTAAAAAATATTTAATTTCAACCTCAACGTCGATTATCCCTTAAATGTATAATTTGTTTGTGCAGGCCTATGGGCTCTTTCAAAATTTGTATAGACACCGAAACCACTAAGTCATTTAACCAAACCAACTAATTACTACTTGTAGGTACATACGTGTATGTCAAGAGTTTGTCAATTACATTGATGCAAAAACTTACCCAATTCGGAAACCTCACGCCGCTGGATAATGAACTTTGCAATCGGACTGTTGCCATCGAAACCAGGTGTCCAGGACACGTTTATGGTGCGTTGATGCGGTTCGGCGAGACGCTCCACCTTGACATTTGTGGGGGCAAAGGGCAACTCGATGACACTGAGACGTGCGGAGCGCGTCTCGTTGCCCCCCGAAGAGGTGACCACGCACGTATAGGTGCCCACATCGCTTGCCCTCACCGCCTGTATCTCCAACTGGCCATCCGCCTGCACACCAATGCGCTGGGAGTTGCTAATCGGCGCCGACTGGCCCTCTCGATACCAGTCGATGTTGTACGACACGCTCGGGTCACTGGACACTTTGCACTGCAGCGATGCGGTTACCCCAAGCAGCACGGTGGTATCCACTGGTGGTTGAATGATTTGTGTGCGCACTGCGAAATGGCAAAAGAAGAAATAACATTAACAACAACAGAAACAATAGCAGCAACAAGAAGTACGACTGCAAGCAAGCAGGAACAACATCAGCAGAGCCGGCCAGCTAGAGAGGAACGGCAATATGGCAATGCAGATTAAAAATAAGCCAGCAAAAGCCGTTTGGTTGGGATTCGATGGCCCCCACCCCCCAGCCTCCCCCTTCTCCCTCTTCACATCGTGTTGTCGCATTAAATTGTATGCATATACATATGTACATATGTATGTATGTACATATGTGTGTGTGTATGTGGAGAGTTGAGCGCCAGACAGAGCAGAGCCTCTTCTCACTCCTGCGCTGTCACCTCTGTTTGTTTGTTTGTTTGTTCGTTCATTCGTTCGCTGTTGCTGATGTGTGTGTAGGAAATTAAGTTTTAAAATGCCAACAAACAAACAAACAAACAAACACACACACATACAAAGAACAGCAACTATATTCAGCATACGAATACAGATTCTTTTTGTTTATGCGATCCTATTTTTGTTGTTGTTGTTGTTTTTTTTTTTTTTTTGATTTTCTGACGTCCACATTCACATTCACATTCAAATGCATTCATTCCAGCCAGCCCATGCACAAAAAGTTCAACGCACAGACATTGTTGGCCATGAATAGCGAGAAGAGTAGGCCCCCATTTGGACAGCACTTTATAAATGGCTGAAGAGTTGTCCAGCACCTGCCACTCCCCCACCCATCACCTCACCCATCAATTGCCCCCGTCTGCCCTCGAGCACATGTACACACGCACACACACATGCACACACACACATACAAATGCAACGCGGTCAGCTCGTTTGGCATATTTTTGATTACCGGCCATTTTCTATGAGCGACGACAACGTCGCCGTCGTGTTTTATGCAACACAAAAATAAAAACGAAATAGAAAAATAGAAATAGAAAAAGCAAAAAGCAAAAACCACAACAACAACAACAGCAGCAACGAAAACGAAAAAGGAACAGGATCCAAAACATACAGAGCACTGAAAATTGAAAACAGAAAAAACATGCTGCATTGGCCATTGAAACGTTTTGCCAATTAGCCGACGCGGACTTTGGCGCTTTTAGGCTACAAACACATCCATGCATGCTACACACACAGACACACACACACACACACACACACACACACACACACTAACACATGGCAGACGAGCTAAAAATATGCATGCATGCATGTGAAAATCAACTTTAATTGCAACAACAACCATAACAATAACATCAGCAATCGCACAATGAAACAAGTAAAAAAGCTAAAGTCGGGTGTCCCGACTTTGAAATACTCTGTACATATGTGTACAATAATTATAGAAAATAAAAAATTAAGAAAATAAAAAAAAAAATTTGATCGATTTTACCTCTCTCGGTATTCGAACTCACGTAAAGGGTGTATAATTGCACATTTACATAGCAATTGCGTCTGTGTGAGTGTATGTATGCCTATGCGCATCTATTCGTGTCTGTGTAAGCATTTTCGCAGTCAACCAAACAGCAACATCAACAACAGCCGCGGGCAGCGCTTGAGCAGCGCTGCAGCAGCGCTGCATCAGCAAATATATTTATGGCTATAACTTCTTGTTAAATCGGTCTATCATAATGAAATTTGGCATACGGACACATAATAACCAACTGGGGGTATTTCCAAAATTTTAGTTCGAAATTCCAAGAATTACGGGAGTTACGATTTGCGGGGTAGAGGGGGGAGGGAGGGGAATTCCAAAATATACATTTTCTGCGTATTCACATAAGGCATCTGGGACTAAAATTTGGTGTTCCTAGGTCTTATAGTCTCCGAGATATAGGCGATTATACGAATGGAAAATCGGGAAAACCTCCATAGGGGGGAAGTGGGGGGGAAAATCAAAAAAATAAAACAAACTCGTATAGAATACACACATAACGCATCTTTGTGCAAAATTTGGTGTCTCTATCTCTTATAGTCTCTGAGATCCAGGTGTTCATACGGACGGACAGACGGACAGACGGACAGACGGACAGACAGACAGACAGGGCTAGATCGACTCGTCTCGTCATGCTGATCAAGAATATATATACTTTGTGGGGTCTGCCACGCCTCCTTCTGCCTGTTACATTTTTCAGCTCCCGCAAACCTAATATACTCTTGTACATTTCATGTACAGAGTATAAAAACTAGTAATATGCTAATGCTGCGACGGCCGACTCTAAAATACCCTGCACCTGATCCCCGCCCCCCTTTTTATTCAAGCTTCGGCCTAACACAAACGTTATTTAAAAAACAAAAAATGAAGTGATAAATCCTTTCTGTAGTTATCCCAAAGGCACTACAAGTATATCTAGATTATTACGAAGAGACAATCAATTACTGACATGCGTGAACGACCGCCATTTTATTCATCAACTGGGCGCATTAAATAAAAGAATAAAAGGACATCCCGTCTCTCTCATCCCCCTTTTTGGCTTGTATCTTTTTATCTAAGAGTCAAGACGAGCAGCATTATACCCTGCACCCAAAGGGTAAATAGTATGGTACTGGTACTTATTTCCACTCCTTTATAACTGGGAAATCGATGTTATTCATTATTTACTATACTGCTCGAATAAGTTATATTTTTGTTAAATATAATCCATTTTGACTTCATTGTAGTTTCATTTCAATTACTTACAGAAAAGCTGAGAGAAATAGCATATTTACAAAAGGAATGCAATAAAAAAGCTCGTTCTGAATTCCATTTAGTGAGTGTCTACTGTAAAATTAACGGACATATGTCTATACTTGTATGTGCCTACACATAAAAAAGTAATGCTATCTTAAATCTTTCCTGATTTGGCCAAACACTTGAACGGTTCAATGCAATATTCCGATCACTTCAATATGTTATTTTAATGGCCATGAAAATAATGATCCTAAAGATAACTTTGTGTACGCCCTTCTACATACATATAGATGTATGTTTAACTGATGTTATCGCACGCCTTCTTCTGGATGTTGCATGCATTCGAAACTTTCTTTCAATTTTGAAAATATTAGATACAGGATATTAGCGCGTTCAAAATGACATTTTAAATTATATTTTGGAGAATAAAATTTTTTGGCCAAACATTTGAATGGGGTTTTCACATTCAATTCAATCTTCTGATTACTTCATTATTTTATTTTAATAGCCATGAAAATAATGATCCTAAAGATACCTTTGTGTACGCCCTTGCACATACTTTACATATAGATGTATCTATAACTATATGTTATCGCACGCCTTCTTCTGGGTGTTGCATGATGCATTTGAAACTTTTTGGTGCAATTTTGAAAATATTGGATTCAGGATATAAGAGTGTTGAAAACGACATTTTAAATTATATTTTGGAGAATAAAATTTTTTGGCCAAACATTTGAATGGATTTTTCACATTCAATTCAATCTTCTGATTACTTCATTATTTTATTTTAATAGCCATGAAAATAATGTTCCTAAAGATACCTTTGTGTACGCCCTTCCACATACTTTACATATAGATGTATCTATAACTATATGTTATCGCACGCCTTCTTCTGGGTGTTGCATGATGCATTTGAAACTTTTTGGTGCAATTTTGAAAATATTGGATTCAGGATATAAGAGTGTTGAAAACGACATTTTAAATTATATTTTGGCAAAGAAATTGTTTGCCGTGAAATAAAATATCTCGAATAGAAATGCAATTGAAAACAATTGCACTTTCTCTTATACAGGGCGACCCAAACTATTCGTTTCTCTTTGTAATCAATTATCCGAGAAAACTGCAGTTTAAGATCTCATGGGCATATGTATTCGATTTTCTTTTAACAATTTCTTTTCTTATTCAGTGTTTTAATAAAAAAGGCTACATCTGACGTCGATACTCACAAATTCGTACGTTCTGTATTTCTTTCCATAAGTACTTTAGAAAACATAAGATTTTATTGTGCTCAACAGGTAAATGGGTATTACGGTATATATATTATAGTACACCATCCGCACAAATTTAATACGACCTGGTTAAAAAATAAAAACATATTTATTTATTTTAGGGCAAAGTTGTCGTCTTCAAAGTAGGTTCTTTTTAAGCTAATCCAATTTTTCTTGCACGTTTTATAGGACAGCTTATGTCTCTCAAGCAGTTCGAGAGGATAAGAAGTCACAGGGAGCCAAATCTGGCTCTTAACGATGTCAATATGCACAAAAAAAAATAGAAATAAATAAATAGAATTCTTAGTATTCCTTATTGACCGTTTGCTTCTATACAAGTAGAATGAATTAATGGTGTGCCACACACATCGACTGATTGCTGGGCAGTTTCGACTGCATATTTATAAAGCCACAGTAATACCCGCGTTTGACGAATCTCGGGTTATTGGCTACGCTGGCAACCATCTCTTTTACGACAATTAACGATTAATATTTATGCCCAAAACCCCAATCAAAATGTGATGTGTCGACCCATCGAAATGATGAAAGCCTTCACCATTTTTCTAAAGCCAACACGACTACTTTCGAGCACAAGTTCCTTAATTTTTGGTTAACAAAGGTGGATGGTGGATACAATAGGCAAGACCCTCAATGAAGGTACAACAGACCTAGGCAAGAGAATTTGACCGATTCATCGATTTACGCGCACGATTTAAATGGACCAGTCCGGGCCAAATTTGTTCAGATGGTCTATAATTTCTTCATCAGGTCAAAAGGTGTTAATATTGTTGTTGTTTTTCTTCCTCCAATAACCCCCCACCCAGTCGGATTCGTTTTTAGATACTTTTGGAATTTTTATAGACTTGTATTTTTGTTCTCTTTATTTTACATCGACAGCTCTGTTTGTCGGGTAAATAAATAAATAAATAATTTAAAACATGCAATAATTCACGTTTAAATAATAATATTTGCTGTATACAAACAGCGCGACAAGTCCGACATAATCCGTCACTCAAACAATAAAAAAACTACGACTATATACTTGTAGTACCCTTTGAACTCTATACTCGAAAGGTGACGCATGTATCTACTAAGATGTAGCAAAATAAAACTAGAGTGCTCTTTAGCTAATAGGCCTCACTTTTGCACCAGATCGCGCATTTGTTTTGTGCCACCCGGTTCCAATATACGGCCGAAACGATGCTGATTTTCCTGTTGTCCCTGGGCGCTTAAAGTTGTTTTCAGGCGCTAACATCATAATTAGAGGCTCTGCAACTAAACTCACACGTCAATTCACAAAACAAAAGCAAGGAATGAAACGGCGGTTCGTTGGGTTAGCGGACATACATATGTACATACAAACATTTAGACAAACATACGGCAAATTGCTGAAATCACGTTTAGTGCCAACCTACAAATACATTTGTAGATTCGAGTGCACACATATGCTCGCAAACATACATACAAGTACATACCTACGCTTTATAATGTGGTCAGTATGATTAGCTTATAATTAGGAGCAAAGTAATGGGTTGGGGAGGCGTGATGGGGAATGTGTACGGGAATGTGAACAGGAATGGGGAAGGTGGGACGGTTGTTGGTTAGAATTGGCATCGTGCATATAAAACTTACCTAGAACGCCCAAATAGGCCTCGCCCTTAACACTGCCAGCCTCGTTGGCACGCACACAAATGTAGAGGCCCGCATCCGTGGCTCGTATATTCGAAATGAGTAAATCACCGGATTCGAGTATCTGCACACGGCTCGATATCTCAACAAGTTGCGTTTCTGTTGGCGGCCGCCATTGATGATGTTGATTACATGGTTGGTGACACCATCATTGCGCCGTTGCCAGTCGACAGTCGACAGATAGTGGGGCGACAGATAGTCAGACACGGCATGTACACATGTTGTTAACAACAAAGTGCAGTTAACAATGGCGTATGCAGATTCGAGTGTGCGTTTGTGTGCGTTTGAGTGTGTAAGTATATGTGCATTTGTTTGGGCAAAGTGCGCGACGTTTCCACAGCACATTTGGTTCAAAGGGCGGGCATGAACGTTGGTTGGTTCGTTGGTTCGTTGGTTGTGTGGTTGTTTGATGGGTCGTTTGGTTGTTGGTTGGTTGGTATTAGAGCCGTCCAGAGCGTAGCACAGCAAGCAATTTTTATCAAGCACAGTTGTTTGTGTTTTTTTTTATTTTTTTTTATTGTTTGTTGGTTAGCATTTTTAGTGATGGAGAGAGGCATACAAAAAATAAAAAACACAAAGAATACAAAAATGAATGACAAATTATTAGCATTCGATTTGGAATTGGTACTAGCATCTCATCCAGATTAGTTAATGACATGCCAAGACATCGAGAACAAGTATGTTCAAGTACAAGGTAATTCAAGTAGCTGCCAATCACTGCACTTACCGTTGTAAATCCAGGTTATGTTTGGATTGGGGGCGCCCACGGCACGACATGAAATGGTCGCGTCCTTTCCATCCAGTGCCGTTACATTCTGTGGCGGTTGCTCCAAGACAGGTGCCGACGCTACGGATGAATCAAGACAGAAAGAGAAAGAGAGAGAGCGGGAGAACGTGTGTAAGTAAATCGAGCAAAAGTTGTGGAATCTTGCAATGCTAAAGAAAAAGAAAGAAGGAAAGAAAAAATAACAACGTACAACAAACTGGTGCAAGAAATGTTTGCAGTCAATGTAAATACGCAACGACGATCTGCCGTTGTGTGCGTCTCTAGCATATACATATACATATACGTATATGTTTGCATGTGTTTTTGTGTGTGTTGGTGTGCAGCGAGAAACAAATAAGAGGAGCGGCAGCAGAACTAACTATAAGTATGGAGTACAGTAATTATCGATTACATGCAACGCAGACAATTCTATATCCAGTTACGTATTGTATATGGATTCTTACAACAATCATCAGGTACTTCAAATATTAGGAACAAACCATTTGTGTATTGTCGAACTAAACAAAAACTAAAATATATAATCATCAGGTACTTCAAATATTAGGAACAAACCATTTGTGTATTGTCGAACTAAACAAAAACTAAAATATATAACCATCAGGTACTTCAAATATTAGGAACAAACAATTTGTGTATCGTCGAACTAAACAAATACTAAAATATGAATAATCGAAAGTTGCAATTTTCCCAAGGTACGCCTAACTATTAGATAGTTAATGGCCAATTTGGGCAAAGATACATAAAGCTCCTGCAAATCAAGCTACAAGAAAAAGAACAAGGTAAATAGTAAAAAGCAAATGTAATTGTTTCAACACAAAAATCTATTTCCTAATTTAGGAAAGGAATAATGTTTCATTTTTTAAGCGATAAAGCTAAATAAAAGTACGAAAATTAAATTGACGTTTTTTTAAAACACTTTACTTTTCTTTTGAAATTGTTATTAAATTAGATTATTACATTTCGACAAATTTGTTGAATTTGCTATTTATTTAAAATGTGTATTATTATTGTATTATTTGTACAGAAAACTCTAGATATTTCGGCTTCGGTTGTTACTCAATTTCGAGCGATTTCATTTTTCTTACTTGTACTTCCCCTCCAAACCGTCAAACAGCAACAGCTGATTTGTCAACCCATTGACAAAAGCTGAGAGATTTGAAACCAATCGAAAGAGATGTTACTTTCAATTATAAACGAATCCGCAAGTAAACGAGTTTGCTCATTTGTGACTGATATTTGTAGAAGTTCATAAACCTTTTTTGTAAACTTTTACATCTTGTGAAGAGCTACTTGGAACAAATATAATTAATACTTATAATAAATCAACCGTATTAAACTATTTTTCAATCAATATCCGCTGCTGTGCCAGTTTCCTTCTGTATTTCTACATTTATTGTCCCATCTTCACGTCGCTTCATATTTTGTAAGCATTTTTAAACAGTAAACATAAGTCAAGTATTTATCTTAAAGCCAGGATTTCTTGAGGAGTGGGAGTCATCCTGACGCTAAAATAACGAAAGCATCCCAACTAGTTGTCAATATTTTTGTCAAATTCTTGTTCATTTATTTTCACACAATTGTAAAAGTTAAACAAGTTTACCAAATTGTACCGTAAATTATGGACAAACATTCTATATTTAAATGAAATAATAATTGATTGCACCAAACGGTGGCAAGCAACCTAAAGCCCACAAAAACCAAAAGAAAGTAATTAAATGAACAAATTATGTGTGAAACGCATTAACATCTATCTATTAATATCTATAGTATGAGCAAACTATAATACACAAATCGGATGCAAAAATAACTTTAAAAATTAATCATTAATTGCAGCTTGGGGGTATATAGTCGATGTTAACTGTACAGCTGAAGGAGCGGTAATGCAATTCAGATATATAGTTTGTATAATGATGAGAGCAATTGCGATGTTTGTCAAGCAGCTCTTCTGCTACGGTGCCCGGCCCCGTGGCCTCATGCATCGCCGCAGACCTTAGTCAAGTCCCCGCACGACGCCCTTAATGCCAATTCTTTTATTGAGTGGCAGCCGTGGCGTTTGTTTTCATTGTTATGGGCCGCATGCCACGTGCCGTGCACGAGTTAAAGTTTCTGCGACCATTGCTGCTACTGTTGTTGTGGTTGTTGTTGTTGTTGCTTTTGTTGATTCCTTGGTCAGGCAATGGCCGCACAAGAAGTAATAATGTAATAATTTTGTATGATGAAGTATTAATGTTAACTACGCTTATGTAAATAAGTGCATAAAATTACAATAAAAATGGCTTTGTTTCATTTTTAATATTTTATTTCATTCCACCAACATTAAGATATTAAGTACTGCTTGCCGTAGGCGGTTGAGTGGTTTTTCATGGCAATATCATGATTTTCATGGCAAGGTAAAATATATACATAAGTAGTACTTACGAGTATATATATTCAAGTATATTCGAGTGGTATATAATGTGCTAGTACGATAGTACTATCACTTACATTGCGCGTAAATGTGAAAGTGTAATTATGAAAGCCGGCATAAATTCCAATTAAATACGATTCAAGGACTTTTGCACAATTTTGTTAATCTTTATAGCAGTGGCAGGAGGATTTAAAAACCCAATCATAAGCGATAAAACAAAGGTTTTACAACATTTATCTTAAAAGCGGGTATTTTTTATTGCCAATAAATATACGAGCACACCATTCTTTAAGCAAAAAAGTCGTTAAATGTTTTGATTTCATTTAGTTATTGAATAAACATAATAGTAAACCACCAATCGAAATCAATTCATGTCTATGTTACCTATATAACATTGTTGAGAAGTTTGTGCCCAACAGTCAGCCAAAAATTAGAAAACAATTACTACTTTCAATGGGCAATTGTTTGAAGAGGCGTAACAATTTATAATACTTACAGTATGTTCCAAACACTGAGCTGACTAATGCAAATCTGTATGTAATGTCGACTTTAATTTGTTGTCCTTTTTCAACATAATAACAAAGAATTCCCCAGCTTGTGACATTCATAAAGCCATAAAGGCTTGACACATAGCTTAGCTGCTCTAGTTTGTAACTTGAAACATTCTAATTAAAAGTCTTTTATCAAGTATGGACGAACTGTGTTGATTGGGATTAGGGAAGCGAGTCGAAAAAAAATTTAAATTTATTACACTACATCTGTTCCAGTACCTACCAAGACTCAAACGGATGGAGTAACGAACAGCCATGATGACAGACATACTGCTGCCAATCTTAAGTCTCCATATCCAATTTCAAAGTCAAGTGCGTCATTTAACACACAAAATGGATCAACTCAACTCTCTGGTGGAATGCACAAGTGCAATAAAAAATAAAAATAAAACAAAAAAAAAACAACAACAAGAAGGAAGAAAGCTCAAGCAGCACACAGGAACCAGCTAACTGCTCAATTCCGTAGTCATAAAAGCAAGAGCCGAGGGAGCGCACCTCGAAATGCTTAAAGAGAATGCAAATTTCTTAAATTTTTTGTGGCTATTTGGGGGTCTGGCTGGCTGGCTGGCTGGCTGCCTGACTGCATGGGTGTGCTGGCCACGTTAACGTGTTAAAAGTGCTTAAGCGGCTGCCATAATTTTGCCTTTATTCGCATTGTTTTTGTTGTTACTTTTTTTTTTTTTTGCTGTGCCGAGTGCTTCGTGTATTCGACGCACGCAAAAGGCATATTAAAAAAGAAACAAACACACACACACACATAGCAACACATAAAAGAAAGGAAAGAGGAACGTGCACGGTTCGAAGCTGCAACAAATTTGTAGCATAATTTTGGCCGCCTCAAGTGGCCACAGACGCACCCAGATTGTTGCCTCTGTACATACCATACATACTCGCACTTGTATGATGAGAACCGAGGTGACTGACAATAGCCGTCGATTTATGCATTGAGCTGCGAGGCAATGGGGCGTATGCGCAATGCGTGTGCTTTTTACGACACGATCCCACCATCGACGTCTGCATCCTCGTCCGCGTCTTCGTCGCAGCCTTCGTCATCGTCTTTGTCGTCAACGGCTGCGTAATTAATTTCAAGTTGACCCAGTAAAGCGCCACGTAAAAGCCATAATAAAGCGCTTGGCGAAAGTGCTGGCCGTGGCGTGGCAAGGCAAGGCAAGGAAAGGAAAGGCAAGGAAAGGCATGGCGTGCGCCAGCGATAATTGCCATTACTTACAATTGAAGTGGCGTGGCTTGGGGGGAGGGGGGTGGGCATGGGGTATGAAATTTAGTAAAGTGAAGTGGCATGATGGTAGTAGTATGAGGAGTTAAGAATTTGGAGCTGGAGCTGTTGCTGCTGCTTGGAATTGAGATTGTAATGGGTTTGGTTTGGGGCTGAGACGGCTAAGACGACCGGTCTGCATAACATTTGCATACGAATCGCTTTTTTGCATTTACTTCTTGGGACGCTCAGCGCAAACTTTTACTTTGCTTTGCCTTGCTTTGCCTTCCCTGGCATAGTCTGGTCTGGTCTGGTCTGGCCTTGCTTTACTTTCGCATTTGCTTGGACTGCGAATAAGTAAAGGAGGAAAAATCCATTGCTGCCGCTTTTGCATTATACACTGTATATTGGCTGGGCAGTTAAATATTTTTGAAGAAGATGTTTGCAAAAAATAAAACTGTCATTATAATTAGTGCTGTGAAAGTTGGCTTGCTTCGTAAGCTTAATGACCCCTTTGGAATTTACATTATTTTATACTCAGTTTCGTGACTTGGTTTCAATACGTTAATTGCGTGTTTGAGGATTCAGCCACCAGTATTTTAAGGAGCACAGATAAACTATTCCATTGATTCCTTTAATACCCGTGCAAATGCAAGTAGTAGGATGTGAAGCGAACCAAATGTTATAGGTACTACATAAATGATCAGGATGACTCGATATAAGCCATGTCCGCTTTCCTATATTATTAATTAATTAATTAATTTAATTAGGCTCTTCAATGGCTTCATTCTTCTGCAAACACATCATTTACAGCTATAGGGCCTATCGGTTTCTTTTTGGTGATTTTTTAAGTGAACCCACAAATATTCTTTTAAATATTCGTAAACGG